GACCTTTAGATGTTCAGCCTTACTGCAAGATTACCAGCACCGCTGCCTTTTATTATTAGCTCCAGTAGAGCTTTAACATCTGTCGATGGGTGGGCTACACGCTGACCATTTGCACTGACGGTCTCAAGAGTATTCCTACCTTCTACCACCGCATCCGCTCTTAATTCTACTTCACGTTCAAGTTGTACAGAAATTTTGTTCAACTCAGTAGTAGTAGACATTCCGCTCGTCTCATCATGATCAGCCGAAGACAAATGTGCACTATCATGATTATTGTAACAAATATCCACTTTACTGCCTTAAATGATGAAATGAAGTTGGTGTTTTTGTTGAGATAATGCACTGGAGTTGCTTCAAGAGCTACACAGTGCTGTAAGTTTATAAAGCCAAACGAGGGATACTCTGGGGCTATGAGTATACTGCGTCAAAGATACGGAAGAACTGCGATGATCGTATGGCCTTCATTCGAGGCCGTTAAGTGTAACGGTAGTCAATTACAAGATGAATCCAAGGCACTCTCTGAGTTTTTGGATAATCTGATGACTTACAAGAATACGTTGATCTCGATGAATTGCCTGAGTGATCAGAACTCAAGTTCAGTCCTAGAGGTAGTGGCGAGACGCCTACCTACTCGACTGCGAAGGAAGTGAGTGAAGATAAGCTCTCGTATAGAGGATGAGGGTATTGAGCCAAAGTTTAATGATATTTTGAAACCGGTAAAACACAGTGTCAACCATGTTTGAGAAAACTTGCAAGTATACTGCATCCCACCTCTGGAATAGAGAAGAGGGAGCAAAACGCAATTATTCATGACGAAAGGGTCTCAGAGAAGTTGATATCGAGGATGTATTGATTGTACATACGTTTGTGGTAATTGATTGTTTGGGTTTCTTTTCATTTAATTGTTGGGTAATTTTTAATTGTCGCATTGTGGAAACCATCTTTTAATATTAATTTAGATAATTCTGAAGTCGTTTCTGATCTTCTGAATTGTGGACTTTTCGAGTATTTTTAGCGTCAGTTTATGCGATTCGATTCTCCGGGGAGGGTATTGTTCGAGAATGGTATGTAGCAACCAATACCTCGTGGTGCAGATCAGTGCTGGTACTCTCGACATAGGGCGAAGGAAGTTTCGGTTCACTAAAGAAGATCCCACACGCCGGGGAGGGCTTACTTGTTTGATTTGGTAAGCTTGTTGTGTGTTAGTCTCTTTTTCCTTGCTTTTCCATTTTAGCCAATCCCGGTTGACCCAGGTTCCCGCGTTGGAGTTCAGCTCATATTAATTGGCGCTATGGGAAAAAAGGGATGGACCCTTTTTGCCGGGGAGTGTCAATGGCCGTGAACATTTTATGGTCTTCTTTTGGAACTGGTAGCCATTTGTGGGCAACTCGAAGGTTAGAATCGTTCGATCGTGTACAAGTTCGACGATGATGAGATAAAACGAATAAAATCTTGTGTTATTCACCACTTTCATTGCCAAACTATATATCTTCTTTCTCACAATACTAGTGTTTTGGAGTTAAAGTTAAAGGAAGTACATAGTAATTATCGGTTCGGAACGTCTTCGTAATAATAAGAACTTATGTGTAAGTTCCTTGACAAGGTCCATGGCGTCAGTTTACGAATCGTCACTTTGTATCTCTCTAATCTGAATATGACGATTCTACATTGTACATCCATATGTAATAGGTTAAAGGCGTTCATCTGGCATTCTATGAACCGATGTAATAGTGTCACTCACTATCTGAGTTTGTTGCTAACATTTCCTGTTGAAATTGCTATACCAGACTGCTATCAATTGTTTCGTAACTTGGACATCCTTTGGGGCAACTCAATGGTCAAACCGGCACACCGGTTTTCATGTCGAAGGTACGTTCATAATAAGAAGCAATCATTGTTGCTTTTTCGGTTCTGTCCCATCTTCTTCAGCCTTTAGCGCTCTGAGATTTCCTCGTATGCATCTGCTTCACGGTTCAGCCGGATTATGGTCTGTGCACTTAATGAACAGATACGCAGAAAATGGTAGGAGTAATAAATTCGGCAGTACTTACTTCCAGCTCCCGGAATTGGTGCTTCACACCACGAACACCATGATTTTGTGTTTTATTGGTCTCCCATTCACTTTGTTGGTGCCATCGTCATGTTTATCCCTAAGGTTGACAGCCTGATATATTCCGCTGAGTTGACTGTTTGTTAAATGTAGAACAATATCTGATGCACTCACACCAGCTCAGGAGTTAACCTTACCACGTGGAGACGAGAACGTAGTAGAGACTCCTGGCAAAACTTGGGTAAGTGCACTGTTCAACACGTGTAACCCCAAAATGATATTATTCCACTGTTCCAAAAGCACATGGTTCGTATCAAAGACCGACTTAACATATATTTTCTGTAACATACCCTCACCCCACTGGACCTACACTAAATAAATCCATAATATCTTCCCGAGATACCAGTCATCTTATCTACCTTTTAAGAGTGGGGAAGTCTGAAGTAGACGGTATGCTGATAATAGTCACTTTTCAGAATATAATTATATACTGCAGAGACTAGGATCGTTAGTACGTTAAACTCCATTTATTTATCTTCAGAAATACTCACCAGGGACCTTCGTCCAGTTGTGAATACTGGCCTCTATTGCTACGTGTTCAGGCGGACAGTAGTCACAATTTTATGCAACTTCCCATCTCCTAACAGGAGTTTAGGTGGACAGCAGTTCTGATTTCCCGTCTTAGTCCCAAAAGCCTGTGGAAAAATGTCAAATGTACTGTATGCACCATTTTGAATGCGATGTTTGAAGATGTTTCAAGAAAATCCTTTCATTGTGCAAGAGTATGGAAGTCGATACTGTCTTTTTTTATTTGCGTACGCAGCGTTCAATCTGATCAAAAAACTAACACGGTAGATACGTCAAAAACACAAAATTGTTATCACCTAAGAAGAAATCCTTGGCGTGTGTCCAATTCATCTTTATTCATTTCCACATATTCCTATGAGCGAAAGGTTCTTGGTTGACTCTGTCGTGACGGTCAGAATCCTTGAACTATATATTTCAGCGGTAGCTTTATATTAGTGCAGGGGGTCCGAATATTATTCTTTGTTTTGAGTGGAGCAGATTTCCATGCTTATATGGAAGTAGGGAAACATCTTCACCGATAGTTCCGTAAAAATGTGTCACTGCATATAATCCACCAGTTCAAATCATTGGTGATTTAAACAACTGTTACGCTGGGTGGAAGTATTTCATCTGTAGGTTCAAACAGTTCCTTTTTCAAAACCAATCCCCCATTTTCGACTTGAGTTTATTGTGGATAACAAAATTTTGGGGTACAATTCGATTTTTTGTGAACAAACAAAAGGCACATGACATAGTTATTAGGACGTTGAGTGAGTGGAAAAATATAGTTTTAGTTTATTGTCATTCTTTTGATAAACCGCACTCTTATATCGGACAGCGTCACTGGTTAGTAGGATTGATAATACATCCTGAAATGCAGTCTCACATCACGGATACTATTCAAGAAAAAAAGTATTGCGGATGTTGTTAAAACTCCCAACGCTAAATCTCAGGTGGATTGCAAAATGCATTTAGGGAGCTACTTTGAAAGACACCTTAGAAGATGTTTTGCTGCATTTAAAGTAGTAACAAAGTGGATCAGTTAAATCCCAGCGTTCTCAGTCTGTATGAAATTGGACATGTAATAAGAATTCCGTCGAAATGAAGCTGGAATTTTCCTTGCTACATTCATTTGATGATAGAAATGGTGAAACGTTATATGGCCCCACAATCATAACCATGAGTCATATGTCTTCCCTACACGGGAAAGTTTATGTAATATCATTCAACTTGTAAACTACAGGTCACCGGAAGATAACCGTCAGCTTTTTATAGTAGCATATATGAAGTGGACGAGAGGGCTATGATGATAGTGTATATAACCGAAGTAACGGAAGTGTTTTATATATAATCATGTTAATCTGGGAGAAATCAGCAGCGAGTAATTGGTTGCTGACTGATTTACCCTAATATGACAGTTACCATTGTGTAACTCACAAACATGAGTCTAGTGACGTTGTATTATGTTAATAGAAATACGACAGATTAACAACACTAATATAGTGACAGAAAATCGAAAATGTGTTTCCTTAGCCCGCATGTGGGAAGCTGAAGCGATAAAAACTCAAAAATTTGTTTAGTCAATCGGGACACTTTAGTAGGTTATAGAATTAAAGGAGGCACTGCGCCTGCTTCGATACTCGCACCTTAGTTCTCTATCCCTCAATGATCTTGAAATTTATGGAAAGTCCAGCGCAAAGTAGTGGTCCTTCAACAGAAACGAGGAGTGTAACAGAATCTGAATTTGTATATGATAAGAGAGATTAGCTGGTTCACTTGGTGTTCACTGACCTTAATAATCATGTATATCTATCAAAACAAATAATCAACACTATTAGAAATTTCCACTAACTACACACTGAAACATTCTGGAATGATTTGGAGTTAGGACTAAGTGGACGAAATCAAATGAATTTTAATTTATTCGTGAGCAGCTAAAATATTTATCGTTATCTGTGCACGCAACAATAACTTCTGTTAAATAACGAATGTATACCTACAACTTTTATTTTGGCTGTCTCTCAACCTACTAATGCTAAATGCACTAATACAGAAGTTGTAGCTGAACACATTTGGCGTACTATTAGACTATACAGCTCTAATAGAAGTCATAGCCAAATTTTAGCATAGCTGTGATTACATTTATATTGATAAGCTATCGACACGATGATAACATTAACTTGAATGTGGTTAGAAAATGAAGTATATTTCCGGTAGGACTGAGAGAATAACTTAGAAAGTATAACCGATGAAATATTCCTCGCTGGGGGAAGTAAAAAGGTGAAATAACTTTTAGGGTTGAAACAGACAGTTCACGTGACTAAATTTGCCACTGAATTCTGAAGATCATCCGAAGAATTTGGGATGGAAACGAAAACCCCGCCTCTTAGCCGCGTTCTTTGAATGCTGCGCGTGGTCACCTGGCATTTCCCGCATATCAGGCTTTTTTACCAAGTAGTAAATTAAGGTATGGGATTTTACAGTATTTTTTGGGTTTTCAGTTTGCTTCCAGATTTTAACTTTAAAAAGATTCAGTCATTTCATCCGTATAAGTGGTTTCAGGGAAGTACAATGCTTTTGTCTTAAGCTTGTTGGTATTTTGAGTGTCATATTAACCTTATCAAGTAGGTTAATTTACCGTTAATCAACTAGGCCTCCTATTCATTCCTCATCGTCTATTCTTTGTAAAACCACTGATTTCTGGTGTGTCCAAAAGACATGTGAATTGATTTTCTCCTAATGTACTGGTGCTATCTTTTTGCACTAAAAGGAGTTTTTCTCATTGGCTCAGAATGGTAAAGGGTGCCACCTGCAAGAGGTTTATATGGTGGTGGGAGCAATTCAGTGTTCTGGAAAACCTGGTAGCGAAATGTAAGGTGTTTCTTAACTGTCTGTGTCGTAATTGTAGCGAATTAGTGAATTTCTTGTTTTGAAATATGTTGTAAGTTTTAAAAAAAATTAAGCGTCAAAGTAGTGAGAATAATGGTGGATATGTATAAGTCCCTGTCAGTTAGAATATTTACGATATTCGTGGTATTTCTACGTTATATGCTGATTCATTTCTTACTAATGACGTCCTTTGTAAGTTGTTGACTACTTTGGATCAAATTTAGTTGGAATTGGGTTTGTGCTGTTTTTCAAATAGTGACATTGTAGCTGCTACCTCATCGGTCATTGACTTTAGGAGGACACTAGAAATACGTATTATTTATTGAGCCGCAAAATGGCTTGCCTGCACTTTATCTCAGTCGTCGAAAGTCATTTGAAACTACCCAAATCACTGATAGATTCCCCCTTGACACATTTAGCCTCCAGTAGCTCATGTATCTGATCTTATTTTCCGTCCATTCTACGTTCAGAATCCCATTTTGTCGTCATTTAAGTGTTGAAATATTTCCATACCTGAAGTCAAGAGCACTATCATTGTTCATCGATAGTTTTGTGAGCTTCCTCACAGTTAGAATGGATAACACTTGTGAACCTAGGTAATCCATCATATTTCGCCTTAACAGACAGCCCAATTTTTCCTTATATTTCACTTTAAAAACCAACACTAATGTGTTTACGTGGAATAATTCAGTACTTAGTGGGCAGTGATTTTAGCAATTTGAGTTATCCTGCAACTAGAATATCATTTGATATCAGAAGCATTTAAGCAAGGCATGTATTGTTAACAAACGGTTCAATTTAAGGGCATCTTTCAATAAGCCACACCTATTTCATAAAGACGTATGATATAACCAAGCCTCCCAACACAGCAAAGAGCAGGCTTGGGGTGTTAAACGTTGGTTGGAGGTCGAAAGCGTAGGTAGAAGTATGGAATTATGGGTTAGGGTTATGGTTCCTTGTCTTAGTAATTCTATTATAGCAGTACAATTTGCAGTTTCGATGGTGATAAATGAATTTTGATCGGTTTCGAGATTGGCTGGAAAAAGGGAGGCTCATTTTCACAGCTGCCTGTATACTTCTGTAAAGTGACTAATAAACGGGGTCCAAATTATCATTTATTCAGTCGTAAAACGGGACAAGTTAAAAATTTGAAGTATCGGCCATATTAATGAAAGTTTTAGCTTGGTAGTCGTATGGTCACAACCCCACATATTCTTAGTGTTTTTATGTAGTTTTCTTCTCTGCCAACTCGGTAGTTTTAAAGTAAACTGCAGATATGAATCCACTGGGTTTCGCTGACTGTCTAAATTGATGACTTGAGTTATTTTTCACCCCAAGGAATACAGGTAGCGTTCCTTCCAGAAATGAAACAGTTGCGCATGAAGGTCGGCTAAGTTGATGAGGTTGGAAAAATGGAACGTTACTCAACAACTACTTGCAATGCTATGCAGTTGGTAATAACCCATAACTGTTGTGTTGGCACTACATGGCTGCTGAAGCCTCTGTAGAGGAAGTGGGCTCCAAACCGTGACCTACTAATTGGAAGTCAAGTGCGTAAACCAGTAAGCCGCCGCCGTATAAATGCTCAACTAAGTGTGGTTAGTCATCGTGAATCACAACGCAAGCTCGTTGGTATTAAGAAAACGTGTTCCTTAGTTATGCATAACATGGTGTACTCGAACATTGACAGTGTTTGGTCTGTGGAAATAATGCGTCTCTTATTAAAATTGTACTCCACTCCTCTGATATACTTAGTAATTAACATTCTATATTTGTTCATTTCAGATGTCGCTAACAGATCAGCTGAGAGCACTAGCGATCCCCATTACATCTAGTTATGTAGTTGATAATGTCCACCGGAAGTCCTTAATTTATGATGATGCTTCAAAGGTTGACACTCAGTCCTGCTACTCCAACAGTAAGTTTACTTTTTGTATTTTGTTGACGTTGATAGGTTTAACATCGTTCAAAAAACTATGCGAAATGGAGAATGCGTTTAATTCATTTAACAAGACACTATTTTCTGTCACTTCGTGCCATATAGAAATGTGTAATCTTTTACCTCAGGAAAAGGAAAAGCTTGATAGTGAAATCTCCAAGTTTCTTTGTTATATTTCTTCTTTTCTTAAACATTACGTTGCTGTTCAGGCTCTAGAATGGCTTGTATACAAGTACGTTTTCAAATTTTATATTTATATCATATTCAATATAGGTTTCAGATTCATCTGCATAATGTGGAAGACTTCATCCGTTGTATCATTCCATATCATGAAACTGGTCTATTCGTCAAGTTTATTCAGATTTTGAATTTCAAACAGTTACCCGCTAGTTTTCAGTGGTTAAAGCCGTATGCTGTACGTTGATGCGTTTTGCGAATGTAGTTTAACGCCTTCTTTTGATTTTCAACTTATTACATTGTATTGCTCATTACTCATTTTTTGTATGCCTTAAATGACTCAGTCAATCGGTATTAGTAACACTTTGTTATGTGCCAACTTTCAAAAATCAAGAACTAGGTTGTTGGTTTTTCCCGTAGGTTGTTTAGAAATAATAGAATATCGAACTAGGTTAAATGTACATACTTGTTTCCACTTGTCTAAGATTTTTCACTTTTGATTACACTCCTAAATTTACCGAATACAATTATCTCTTCAGCTTGGCTTATTCAATTGACGTTAGTGTTTGATTCGTATACCTCTTGAATTCTGATTCACTGATTTAGAAACATTTTTATTAGGTGACGTAACATGCAGTTATAGCGGAATCTACTATCCATGTTATTAAGCAGTGCGTATAAGCAAGCCTCGTTCGAATTATCAAGAAGTTGATGATTCGTTTATATCTACAACTGCTTTCATTCTGATACCATTAGTATTCAGTCACGACTGTTTTGTGAGGCCTTACGGACCACCTAGAAGTCTGAAGCTCACCAAGTGAAGCAGAATCCGAACGCTCAACACTGGATGGTGACGAGCGCCTCAACCAAAAGGTCATTGCTCTGCCAAGTTTATTTCTTTCTTGATAAACCTTATGTTCAAGTAGCCGCAAGCTATACTGATGGTAGTTATCTTGTTTTTCTTGGGCGATAACTTTCGTAGAAAAGTGTCTCTGAAACGATTCTCTTAGAATGGGTTTCCCACCGGTCGGTTCTCCTGGTTTTTGTATGGTATTTCTCAAATAGGCCTATGAAATTTTATCCAACTGTGGTTTCTTACTTCAGTTTTATAAATCTACACAAGCATTACAAACCTGTCATTATCCACTTTTTGGGAAGATCTGATAGAACACCATCATAGTCACCTGTTCAATAGTTGGAAAATAATAATTTATACGACTTTATTAATCCTTTTTGTTAAGCTGAACTCTTTAGATACTCAGGGTTGTTTTGTATATACTTTTTAAAATCTCAGTATGTTTATGGAGGTTCAAAGTGAAACGTCTTTATGGCTGTTAGCGATTTGTAAACGTAAGTAATACGAAAATCTCACTTTAGGATGTTTATGAGACTTTTTGATTGAGAGGGTTCGTAGTTAATAGATTCAATGATAAGTTGTAGACAAGCGTTCTGATGCGATAGGAATTACAGCTAGTTTTGTGGGAGTTGGATTTTCATCAACCCTGATTTATGGAATCGTATCTCACTTACCATACATGTGTCCACACCGTGGGATATTGCTTCATCACTTCAAGCTCCTGTACTTCACAACATTACGGAGAACGAAATTAAATAGTTAGAACGATAATAACATACAAGGTGGTAAACGAGAGGATAAGTAATCTAAGCTTCATGACTATTTCAAAACTCCTGCAAAAGCTTGATTTCTAGTCTGATTTTATTATTGTGGTGAAACGAGAGGTTTGTCACCGCAATCAGAAAGCCGCGTAAACCGTTTAATGGGTGTTTGTTAATTCGTTTACATAAAATGTGTGTTTATTTTCCAGGAGAGTGGTAAAAGTATATCGCGACAGGAATTTACTCGTCTATGTTTTCGAGAGCATACAATCATCCCGTTTATTTGTACAACAATCCTTAGTTATGTTGAAGTGAGTAACCGATTTACTAACTTTTAATTTGATTTTGTTATTTTTCGTATTGTCTCAATGGAGTTAGTAGTCTTTTGTCAATGTTAATGACACGGTTCAGAACATTACTTATCTTGATTTAAAGAGTAATGGTAAAGTTCTAGCCACTTGAATGACAACTTTTGTGCGCACTCTTCCTTAGGAATTTACTACTGAGCCATCTTATTTTTTATTTATTCTGCATTTTTTCTGCAGTTATGTGTAAGATTGGCTAGGAAGTTAACATAACGATTAAACTCTAAGTAGAATAATTCCATTATGGGTAAATTTATTGCTCATAATCATATCAAGGTGATGTGATTATGAGCAATAAATTGTGCTCGAAACGTCATCAGTAAACATTACTGTATAACACTGTGAGACTTCATCAAAACAAAAATTTACCCATAATGGAATTATACTCTACCACAGTGCACAAGTTTTATTCTTATATCTAAGTAGTATCTTGCACTGAGACAGTGTTGAAAAACTGTCTCGCACTTAAGTTATATTTTTCATATTTCCCCGATTTCCTGCTATTAGACCTTCATACAAGGTTTTACATTTGTCCATTTGTCAGTGAAACAGAATGCACAACACAGATTGTTTAAATGCGTACAAAATAATGTGTAAAACGGATAAATAGCACATTACTGTATGTCCAGGAACAGTAATATATCAGATACTGGCACCCCTAGAAAGTCAATCATAGCCTCAATTACTTATTGGCAGGGTATCTTGCAATAAGGAAGAAAGTTTTGAATGACAACGGAATCATCAGTTTGCCAGAGATTGCAAATGTTGTTTGTGGAATAGCACCAATTGCCATAAAATCTAGGTCAATTGGTGTTCCTGTTGATTAGCTAGTAATATGCAATATCCAACTAAAGTGCACCACAGTACACAGTAGTGTCATTCTACCGAACTTATCTAGTATACTGCACACATAACTGACTGATTTCTATCAACACATCTAAGACTTGGTGGTATCCTTGGTTATCGTCTGTCGACCACTTTGTATTTCAGTAAATGTCTCCGATTCTGGCGTTTTGTAAAGGAATGAGAATAGTCTAAATGCATAAAGTAAACCTTAATCTATAGTGTGAATTTAGTTTATGAGAAATTGTCCATTTAATTAGTCATCTTACATCTGGTATGATATTCTCTACAATATTTAGTCAACAACAGAAGTATGGTTAACTGCTGGACTGTGTATAGTAATCAGTATTGTGTTCCAATCCCACCTTGTCAACTTCAGCTTGTACGATTGTAATATACTTGAAATATTTACTTTGTGTAGGTAATAACTTTTGATTTTCTTCAGTTCATTATAGTGCATATCTTCTTGTTTTTTTTGTAGCACTGTCAAAACTTGGTACCAACAAGGCTAAACGATATGACGAATTTTTTCCTGGCAATTGTAACCGCGTTGTGTGACTCAAGTGCACCTGACAAAAAACTAATTAACGTGTTAGATTCTTTCCAAGATGTTATCAGACAAGGACTGTTATCTGAAAATATCATTCCTTTTCAATGTGCTACATTCTTAGTTGTAATACGCTTCAGTTTGAAACTGGTAATTAATAAAGAATTGGTTCTCGATTGGATATACTGCATATTGAAGAAAACTCGACCTTCTTGTGAATGGGAATCAATGCGCATTGTCGTACAACTGATGAGAAATCAGCGTATCGCTTTGCTACCTCCTAAACTTGCAGCCCGACAGAATATACTACTGTCTAAACTGTCTCTGGAAGAAAAGCGCATAATCGAAGAGGAGCAATCGGCACTGGTCAATGAATGCGAGGACCCCAATAAATTGGCTGCAGAATGTGTTCAAAAGTTTGATTATGTTCGGAAGGCAACTCAAGTTAGTTTTCCAGTTGTATAATTTTATATATATATATATATATATATAAATTATGTGTGCCATCAAATGATGGTGTTTAGCCTTGAACCTTACGTTATGCACCGGTAATTTACTATAAATCTGTCTCATTAAGATTCGTGGCAGTTCATCTTTTCAACCTATTCGGTTTATCCAATAGCACCTGTAACTCAACTATCATTTCTCTGATTACTATAACGAAATAAATCCACGGCTAAAGTCTTCATTTTGTTGTCGGAAAATGTCGTGGGTGCAGGTTAACTGCGGATGGTTATATGAACTCATAAGGCCACTTATCTAATTGAGATGTGAAGGAAATTACTAGCTATTTGGTAAAAGTAATCGGAAGGTTTGGATCGTATGGCCAAGGTTATGTTGATTTATCTCAAATTCAATGGCTGTATTCCCTCTTCATCTGAATTCCGAGTATTTTACTAAACGTCAATGCATTCTTTTCATATCATTTTGCATTTAAGTATTTTGAATAACCTTAATGTGTTGCCCCCCTGCGACAACTTAAAACGCTTTACTTATACTCGTCGTTCTTGTTCAATTACGTGTGAGTTTGTTTGCACGGTTTGTCTTTTAGTTACTGGACATTTTCAAAGTCATTGGTTCGACTACACAAATGTCTTTAATCGAAAAACAGTTTTTAATTAAACGCGTAATATGCTGTACATTTTAAGAATATGGGACGTAATAGTTATGTTTTATTTTTTTAAATTTTTCCAGTTAGTTGATGTTGATATGAGGAGTGAAAAATTGGAAAGCAAAGAAGAAAGTGTTCCAGATGACCATTCCTCAAAGGATGAGGTGAAATTAAAAATTGACATACTCCACTCGTTCCTCTCTAGTATCCCAAATGTAGGTTGTTGTATAATGAATTGTGAATCGTCTTGCCCTGTTGAACCCTTACCGAAAACTGATCATTGGCTCTCTGATGTCTTACTTGATATATTTCCCGCTGAAGCTGTCAGTAATCATGATTGTGGACAAGACAAACTACATTATTCCAAAGCAGAAATACGACATTTTATTAAAATGCTTCGACTAGCTAAATCTGCAATAAAGATTCATCTAGAATCAAACAAAAGTATCCATGAAGGAGTAGATGCAAAACACAAGAGTTCTCGTAAATCGATGACATCATCATCATTGCTTGGTTTATTACAGAACGGCATCGATAAAGGTTAGTTTCTATGATAATTCTTAAACAGACTTCTCTTTTTTATTTAGTAGTTTTAAAGAGTAGTCGTAAAAATATTCTTAGTATCACAAATAAATCCTCGAATTACAGAGGCGTGGTGAATAGGTAGGTTAAATCAAGTACTTGAGGCTAATACTCGCACTAAAACAGTGGTCACTTATGAACTGTTTTTTCTCTCATTATATCTGTATATTTTAGTCGACACGTTTACTAATTATTGACTAGTGCTCATTCTCTTGACTGATTAAAAATAATGAGCTTACATCCCACTCGGTTAGCAGTATAGGTTATGGTAAAAGCATCCAATACCTCATTTGGTTATAATCATCCTTAAATTATGGGAACATTTACTACAATAATGGCTTATCATTAGGCTATCCAAAATGTCTCACTTCTTAATTCCAAGCGATGTCATAAACTATTATTGTGTCATTTATTACTGCTGCTTAAAAGTTCAACAAAGATCATTTTGAACAAAGTGGAAAAAAGGATAGTACATAAAAACAAATGGGCTTTCCCCCTTTATCCCTGCGATACACGCAGGGATAAATGATCAACTCGGTGGTTGAGTGTTGTCATATTTTCCGCTTTCCTTTCTCAAGCGATTTGATTAACCAACACGTCATTTGTGTGATAACTTGCCATTAGTCATGCAAGTGTTTGTCTTACAGTCTGCTATGCCTTTTGTTACTTTCCACCTTTTGTTTTAAATGTACTAATCAATTTTTTGGTCTTGCAACAATTTTTTTCTCTTATTGCAGCTTTACCACTTTTAGTCGCCTCATTATCTCACTCGGCTGCAACTGTTCGTGTGACAGCATTTGATATCTTACGACTGTTGTTTCAAGACAGCCCATCAAAGAGTATTACTAGCGGATCAAATTTTTCTACCTTCTGTACTGCTGTTAATTTAACATCAAATTTTGCTGTTCAGATAGATGAATTGTTCTCTGATGAAGTAAGAGAACTACTTCTAGGTGATCCGTTGCATTTGTTGGACAAGGCAGCTTCTCTTTTGATCAAGGGTGTTGTTCGTCTGTTATTCAGGTAAGTCTATTAATATATAAGTGTAACTAAAGAATTATTACCGATTTAGGTGGTTGACCATGTAGTGCTTTTCTACTGGTTCGTCTATGAAGATTATTTTCAGATTATTATAAATGTTAATATAGATACAAAACTTGTGCGCTCTCGTAGTATGTAATTCCATATTTATTCGTTTATTAGATATGTCGCACAGTGAAACAGTATTATTTACTAGATGACGTATTGAATACTATTTATTGCTCATAATCATATGAATTATAACCACACAACTTCAAAACTTTCATTTTATAGTTTTCCTTATTCTTTCCTATTCGTCATAAGGGTAGTAGAGTTTTCTAGATGTCCGATTGGACAGGCGTTGAATCATTTCTATTACACGTATTTTCAGTTGATTCGATAAGTAAAGATTCCGTTGTCAATCTCTCCCTTCACCCTGTTACATTAGATTTTAAGATGGTCATCTAATTCCATCCTGTTGTATGGTTGTGTGTCATTTCATGTGGTGAGTGGCATAGCTGTACTATTCTCCAGATTTACTTTATTCGGGCCAACTAAGCTAGATTTTACCACGGCATTTTGTGCTCTGCTAGCCTGACTGATACACCCCGTTCTACTACTTTCACCTATGTATTTGATCTGACAATCATTCCAGTAGGGCATTAGATAAACTAAATTGTTCTGTTTAATTGACCCCATAGGATCCTTTCATTGTCAAAGCTTGTTTTTAATTGGGTTTGTAGGTTTGAATGCCAGCCATTTTAATTTTTGCATTGTTAAGAATTCTGCGTAAGGTTTCTGAGGTTCTGTCTTTGTATAGAAGTACTACCGGTGATTTAAATTCCCTGTTGTTGGTGTCGTCATTATTTTGTGCATGTTTGACACGCATGTCGTCATTAATATTATCATTATCACTATCACCACTACTAATAATTTTATTTTTACATTTTTTGCATACTTTCTGATTAATTTATCAGGGTAATTATTAAGTTTCAAAACTTCTCTTATACACCACATTTCCTGTCTTAGATTTTCTTTGGTACTATTTAGTTTTTGTGCCCCATTACTTAAACATTTCACCAATCCTGTTTTTATTGACATAGGGTAGGACGATATGAAATCAAATATCGGTTTGAATGTGTGTTTTCTGTCGACACAAGTGTTTAACTTCGCATCTTTTTTCCTTTATACGTTACAATCCAACATTGGAAGCTCGCCTTCCTGACTTGCGTCGGTGGTATAGCGGTCAAGACGCTCGCCGACCATGCACATGGTCCGGGGTTCGATCCCCGGCCGACGCAATCCTTTACCTCTCTAAGCCAGAAATAATTCTGGTAAAGAGCAAAGGTTGGGCATGAGGCTAGCAACCCCATCCTGTAAATTAAACTCTGCTACAGAAACTTCAAGCTACTAGCTTGAAGCCCTATGTTCCACTAGAGAACGTGAAGGAAAAATTATTATTATTATTATTCCTGACTTTCCAATTCATAAGTGAATTGAATTGCCTCCACCTTCGAGATGATTTGTTCGAAAAATCTATTTATGTCCTGTGTTCTAAGTACGGTGAATGTGTAATCTACATACCTCCACGATACTTTGGGAGTGGGGTTAAACGTTTCAGTCGTTAAGTTTTCCCACTTATCCATGAATACATATGGCACTATCGGGGATATTGGTGAGCCCATGCCAACTCCCTTAGTTTGTGTGTATATTTTCTCGGGGAATTTAAATACTGTGGAAGTCAGACATAGTTCCTGTCCCAGCATTATGTCCTCTGGTGGCACTTCTGTCCTAATTTCACGTTACTGGTCAGAAACGAGTTCTTTTCTGAACGCTTCTATACCCATAGTTATCGGTATACGTGTATATTTAAACTGACGATGTCAAAGCCAACCATTTTTCCCCACTATTTAATTTTTAAATTATGTGTTTTAGTTCATAAGACTTTGTTAGTTTAGATTTCGAGTGGCTTTTAAGAGGATTTAGTATCATGGCTAAGTACCTAGATAATTCATAAGTAGGTGAATTTCTAAAATCAACTACAAGCCTAATAGGGTATCCTGACTTATGGACTTTAACAACACCATACACCCTAATGGGGTTATTAGTTTTCGGCATTAAATTAAACCGTTTAGATTCACCTAGAAACGGCTTCACTCGGCGTATAAGGTCCGCTGTGGATTTCTTAACCTTATTCATAACGGTGTCAATTCTCTTCTTAATTTCCTCATATGGTTCTGTTTGTATGTAGGTATTCACCTTCTTCAAATCGTCTGATTTGTCTGATACTACTGTTGCATTTCCTTTGTGTGATTTAGTGATTATTAAATCCTTGCTATTCCTAAGGTTTTTTAGGGTTTCTATCTCTTCTTTCGTCAGGTTAGGCTTTCCTATTTTCTTCTTTTTAATGTCAGTACACACTGTGCCCGTACTTCATCTGACGTTGTTTCGTCTACCCCACTTAGTGGTATATCTGTTTTAGGAATGACATCCTCAGGTTTCAGCTTGTCTACTGTTATTCCATATTAGTTTGTTTATTAGATATATCACACAGTGAAACAGTATTATTTACTGGATGACGTTTCGAACAAAATTTATTGTTCATAATCATATCAATTGTAATGAACAATAAATTTTTTTCGAAACGTCATCCAGTAAATAATACTGTTTCACTGTGTGACATATCTAATAAACAAACTAAAAGGGAATTACTTACTACCACAGTGCCCAAGTTTTAGACATACATTGTCTACCGTTACATTGAAATTTAGTCCCTTTTCTAATACACTTATTTCTGCTATGATGTTATGGTGAAAATCCTAAACTGAACCCTGGTAATTAACTATTTAAAATAATAACCGACGTATGAGGAATTTCTTAATGACTCCTTAATACACTTAGTTCAGTGTACATAGTTACTGTAATTCCTTTGAACAGGATTTTTTGTGTTGTGAATTTTAAAAGCGCACTTATTAACGTAATGGCAATATTCTATTATGTATGATATTTATTTATTTTTCTCATAGTCAACCACTAAAACTGGATAATTCTGACGATGAATCGGAGGATAAGTTTTCTACTATTTGTTGGATGTTTGGCCTCCGCTTACTGAGTGAAGAAACCATTGGTGAAATTCTACTTATCCCATGTAGTCAGTCAGAAGATTTTGTCAAAGGATGGTCTGGTCTTTTAAGCGTGATACGTCGTTCACATAAATCTTTCAATGACTTGCATCATATGTGTTTAGCACGTTTGAATAGTGGATTATTTATGTCTTTGGAGCACTTTACTGTTAAAAATGATCTAGGCAGCCAAAAAACATCAGTTTTGCGAAGAACGTCTTGTCATATCCAGGGTAAGAACACACCAGGCATGGATACCTGCAATGGAGCTCAGACTAAAATACTTGATGCATTGTATGATCTTGGACATAGTGAACATGCTGATTTTGATTCTGTCCAGAAGGTATTCTCTCGTGTAAGTTACTAATTTTGACGTTTTTACTCTTAAATTGTGTTAAGAAGTGGAAATTTGTCATCTGTAAGGAGGGAGTTTATTTTTATCCTTTTTATTTAAACAACAGTAGTCCCCAAACTGCTGCAAATAGTTGCCAGGTACATTTATTGTGTATAAGTCTGTGCTGACTGACGTCTGTGGGTGTAATCCTTGGATTATTGATGGAAGAAATGATAAATACGATTGAGACAAGCGTAAAAGCTTTGATTGAGGTACATCAACTCAGGTTAGTATATTTCAAAATGGCGTACAAAAAAAATGAACAAAAGTAGAATGGTACTGCCATGTGCAATTATCAGCATGAGAGGATCGATTGTTGATTATATAGAATCAGCGTCACTCTAGGCGATTCTAGAACACTTCAGCAACCCTCTTCAGAATTCGATTGGGGGGGGGGTTATTGGTCGCATCATATATATATATATTGATCGTATTAATCTTTTGTAGGCCACTACTACATGACTATGTAATTCCTGAATGTTTATGCCAGGCTCATCCGAAAACTGATTTTTGCTGAAAGGTCATTGTAACTTTGAAATGCTTAACAGAGTTTCATAGGCAGTAACACATAGAATGCGAATTTCAAGCGACAGGTACAGGTTAACAAAGCACTTATAAGATTTTGAGTCCGTAAAAGTCGACTGCTTTCTTTATTGATTTTTTTAATCAGTGGACTGTGCGTAATATCCTTATCCATTTATTATTTAGTTATTAATCTAAATACTAATAATGTCCCAAAAGTTATGAAGGTAAAAAGATGATGATGAATTTAGTATGCATCTTTGCTCTTTGTGTGCCAGGTGAGAATGAATACCATCGGTATGACTGCAAGTTAATGAGGGCTCTTCGCGGTTTATATGCTTGTTAGTATTGGCGTTAACTCCTATTCAGTGATAAATACTCAGTTATTTTCTCAAAATAAAACAATTTCAGAATGGAAAAAACCTGCTTTATGTTACCTGGTAATACTTCATCATGTTTTAAGGGGGTCCGTTGAATTCGTAATATCAGGCGAAATTTATTAGGGGAGTTTTCTAACAATCAAATTATCTTGTATTGAAAAGCATCGGAATATAATTCAAAGGACTTACTAGAGTGAAGTGATTGTGTGTGCAATTCACATACTTACAATCAATAAATTCTTTGTGCTACAATACGGGGGTATCTTGACTGTTGTGTGGTGTGGTTAGTTAGTTAGAATCTAATTACTGGGGTCCCAAGCATATGAACCAAACCTGTCGTGTGAGGGATGATAATACTGTAACAACAGAAGACAAGGGCCAGGCAACAGATTGTTTATTAAGGATATCAACACATCGATTTTCATGTACATTATTATAGATTATTTTTAGCAGAAAAACACAGTCTTCTGATCGGTTGTTTCTCACAGAAAGTTAACCTTGCTTCTCTTTGTGGCTGTTTCTTGAGTGCCAGATCATCTACATGTTAACTGTATGCGCCTAGGAAAAGCCTGTGTTCTCATTTATCTCACGACCAATATTGGGGACATAAACATTGACGTAAATTACTGTTTGCCAATTTGGTTAGCAGCCATCTCTCACCACAATACAACTCTATCGCCCAGGTTGAATTGCGTGGAGCTGTATATCTTATTTGTGTTATGTACTCGTCGCTAAATTATTATTATGTACTGGTCGAGAAACTAATAGTCCTGACGCAAGAAGGCGGAAATCAGAAGACCACTAGGTTTGCGATGATACTTCTATTTCCAAACACGAGGAGAATGCAAAAGTGGTATCACACCAAAGTAAGTAAGTGTAAGTAAGTCACAAATTGTGAGAGCGAAATATATATGACAAGGGTGTGAACAATCATTAGACAGTCTTAACATGAATGGCTAATTATAATGAAGTATCGATCCATATATACATAGCGAAATATAGCAGACATGTCAACAACCACCATATATGGATATATGTCACCAAGCAACGGACTGTCAACAAACACTCATATTATATATAATATAAGGGGAATATACATTGTTAAAGGAGACAGGTTCATACAAGTGAAATGGTCACAGACTAAGCGAGCAAACAGAAAGAGAGACCAACATACACACACACACATAAATATATATGTGGATACATATCAATTTGTATTCTTAACTGGTTCATTTGATTCCTAAACTGTAGGTTACAGGTTTGAATTCCGTTTCACTTTGTCGTTGTTGAACATCAATGGTGATGTCATAATCCCTTGTGTTCCATTGTTTAACGTAATATAATTGGTCTCGCAAATATAATGTTTAAGAGTTTGCCTCCGGATCATTGGAGGATCAATTTCTGAAGGCATTTTGTTTGACTTTGTGTGTATCATCTATTCTTAATTCAATGTATTACATATAAGTTCTCATGCTTCAATGAATTTAGATTGCAAACTTTTACTGTCTTGTTTTTATGTTATTATCTTTGCCAGTCATCCGTCTTTCTGCTTACAATATGTATATATATTGTCCCATTTTTCAGCTAAATTTGAATGCAGTGCATTTTGATTATATGTTCATCAAATCAGATCCATCAAGAACAGTTCATGGTGACGATAGATCACTATTTGCTCGAGTTACTGAAGCGCGGTAGGTATTTTCATTATTACTTTTGCTTACTGAATTACAACTCACCTTTTTACCAAAGTAATCTAATCCAGTAGGCAAGTAGGTAAAGGTTTGCCTGCCTCCTACTTGATAGGCAGCTTGCCTCATATTATTTGGCTTCAATGTATATAAGTGGGTTTAATTTTTAACCCGTAGTGTAATTCAGTCGCTGATTGCGTAAACACATCTGGTCACCTCGTTGTGTATTGTGTTTAAACGATTGGTTTTTGAACAATCAAGTGGATGGTAAGCGTCGGTGGCACAGTGATTATGACTCTCGTCGACCATGCACAGGGTCCGGGTTCAATCCTCTGCCGACACACACCTGATATCTATGGTTGGCCTGCAAAATTTGGGCTACCGATATCACATGCTGAAAATTCCATACCTGTACCCAAAATACGGTGTGGAATCAAGCTGTAATCAAAAATAAATAAAATAAATAAGATATGAGTGGTGAAAGCCTTCTTCAAATCACAAATTAATGCTTATTTCCTGTTTAGGCTGTTTCAGTTGACAGCTTGTTAAATATTACGATTATTTTCATTATCGGACATTATCAGTAGTTAGTACGATGATAATATTAGCACTTAATAGTGATTGTTTTGGTGTCTTGGTTGTCTGTGTTACGTTCGTCTACAAGTATCACTGACAGAGTTATTTTCTTGCATGCAACACAAGTTTGTTTTTGTTCTCAACTAACTATTATTACTGTTTTTTAGTTATGATAATTTTAAATTACTTTTCATTTAGGGAATCTCGTCGACGTAGTTTACGATTACGCAAATTAAAACAACCTGATCTGAATAATGAATCACTTTCTGAAAAGATTCGTTTACGTTTTCTCAGTATGCTGCTATCTATTCTTACGGAAGCTGTACCTCGATTACAATCGTGTGAAATTGCTGCTCTAGTCCAAAGCAAATCTAAATCCAGTGATTTGAACACATCGATAACCACATTAGAGACAAAATCACCCGGGGTTGATGGAAAGAAATCAAAAGATCAAAATACACCAATGAATGATTTAATTACTCCACTAGTCAATCATCTGACAAGGTAGGTGATATCCCCCTAAGATTGGACCTTATCATATAGACATTTATTTCTGAATACTTTGATACATCATCTTCTAATGGTCAATGTGTCTACTAAGCAGATATTCTGAGGCTTCCGTATCTTGTAAATTCTGAACACTTGTGAAATACTCTTCGCTGGATTTATTTTCTTTCCCAGACACCCTTGTCCATCGTTATATTTCTCTTCTGTCCAATATACGTAATTGTTCGAAATGTGGTAGTGTGAACTAAAACATTTCTGTTGTAAGTCCTACGTTGATTCTCTAATTAGGTAGATAGTCAGTCATCCAGTCCGTAAGAATGTTACCCTTTGTTCTAAATGCAGTATAGATCCAAGTTTTAGAATGTCAGTGAACATGGTAGTTCAGATAGTTTTATATGGAAGTATCATTATTTTTGTTTAACTTTAGGACTCTCTTTTATTTACGCGACTAATGGCTTCTATCACTCCTTATTTCATGATGTCTTATATAAATGTCAGTGAATGTTGAAAACAGATTGCTCCTATTATTTTGAAGCTAATGGATTAGTACTGAGATTCTGCTGTGAATCATCATTCAATAAGCTACTGCCGCACACTTCATCTCACAATTTATTTATCTAGTTCATTTAACGTTTTTGGTGCTGTCATAGTTTTCTTTTTTTCAACCTAATTTTTAGCTTGTTAAATATGGAGCAACATATCAGGCAGTCAGCAGCTAATGCAGCTAATCAAACAAACCTTATTGAAGGATCAGATACAGATAGTGATTTAGAATCACTTTCTGGTAGTATTTCTGACATTCATGTGGATCAAGAGTCAGTTGACATATCATCACCTGGTCGTGGTGGTGGTGGTGGCGGTGATGATGAAGGCACTTGTATTCGACCTCTTTTACGTCAGTGTGTTTACAAACTCTTGGTGTGCATTACAGCTATCCTAGCTGAAGGAAATCGAATCAAACGACCGCGTAGAAAACGTTCTCATTGGAAGATGTCGACTGATCATATGGGTTTACTTTATGGATTAGCAGCTGCACAAGTTGCTGTTGATCCAATTTTCCTTTGTCTCACTATATATCCTGATTGGCCAGCTTTACATCAACAAGTTCTACTTTGTTTCATTGAATTATCACTTATGTTCCCTGTAAGTTTTTGTTTGTTTACTTATTTGTTTGATCAACTGATGATTAGTATAGTTCTGAAGAAAGTAAAATTTATTTCCCCTGAATAGTCAGTATTCTACTACATTCTTATTATCTCAATATGGATATGTTTATGTGAAGCTTGGCTTTACATAAATGTAAAAAGTAATTTGTAGAAAACTTTTGATTGAACACTAGTTAGTGACTAGTATCCATCTAATACCAACCATTCACAGTGCACCGTGATGGTGAGGCACCTAGAATGCTGGCTGGCCACATTGCAATCCTGACTGACAGAATTCAGTCTGCATCAAACACCAAGGACTAGATACACTACACTAGTTACTAACAAGTGTCCAGTAACCTCCTACAGGAGGTCAATCGCGACCCTAAACAGCTCAGTGGTAACGCCTCTGATTGCCTTACCCAGTGATGCAGGTTCGGATCTCAGAAGGGACATGAGTTCCTTCATAGTTGCAGGTACGCATTGCTGCTGACTGGTCTGGTGAGTGGCTTTCTTTCGACTGTATTCAATCATCTGTTATCAATTTGTAGATTGAGTTGTGAAGTTACAGAGATTTTGTTACCGAGTACCTGGGCTTATAATCTGTTCTATTAACTTTCTTGTTTTGTGCATTTTCCCGATGTACTTTACACTGACTTGTGTCATTTTATTTCACATCACTGGTAATTGTTGTCTAGTTTATTGGAAACATTTGTGGATTTAAGGGCCTGTGAAGCACAGTTTATGAATATTTCTACTCTTTAAGAGGTTACTAATCATGAGCTGACATCAATTAGAGAACCATTGGGAAACCTGGGAGTACTGGATGGCTGTTTCATCCTAGACTGAGTGTCGTCAATAGTACGTACCCACACTGCAGGGTTTCAACACAAGGCCTTCCGGTTATGAGACAAGTTCGTAGACCATTAAGCGACTAGGAGCCGGTCCAATGGCCAGTACATGAATTCCAACTTCTTCCAATTCATCATATAGTGCGACCAGTACCTCATGTCATCGACGAGTATTTGTCCTCACACCCGACCTGCTGTACCCCACTGGTCACGGCTTCCCACTAGAAGTCAGTTAACTAACTACCTGAATAGAACCAGTCTCTATTGAGCATCAGATTGATATTCAAGTACTGGTTTGCGGGAATTTGATTGGTCACAACAAATCATCACTCCAGTGCTGTCCAGTACTTCCAGGTTTTCTAATGGTTCTCTAATTGATGTCATCTCATGATGAGATCGTGTAACATATCAAATCCCCACTAACCAACACTCTATTTGTTTTTGTGTTGACATTCTGTTGTTATTTTGTTGTCATGATTTTGATTAATTTTCATGTATTGTCAATAGGTAGTTAATCGTACCTTCTAATTATGTTTCTAATAGTTTACGCATTAACTGTATTAGTTTTGAGCTTTTCTTTTCAACATATTTTGTTCTAAGCTTTTATTAATTATTATTATTCCCCTGGGTTCGGAGTGGAATATACGGCTTCAGCAGCACGTCTCCATTTTTTCCTCTTCAACAGGCCACACGATTGCCCATGAGCTTTCATTTCTTCCTCACACGATCTCCTTCATGTCACCCTCAGACTCATGCCCAACTCGTCGTTTCCCACTCGGGTTACTATGGCGGGCGATATCACCTGAAGGTCTTCTCAGCATATAGCGGGTCCATCTCCATTTTTAGCCTTTGTTACACATAACTGACCATAGACTTTTACATTGTGTGCCTATTACTTATCTTGAATTTCAACATGATATTTCGCACTAGCCTGGATAGTTACTATATCGAGGTTTCATGTTTATTTTCTGATGAGACGTATTTACATGTAGTTGTCTAGTAATGCCTGATAAATTCATTATTTTGTATCCTACTTTATAAATGTTCTGAAGTTGCACACAAGAAATTATCAGTTATATAAATTTATATTATAAATTCTTGGGCTTTCTTACACCATTGCCTCAATATTATTATGGCCTGGTTGAAGAGTATGAAAATGAAACACACCTTGTAGTTATATTAATGTCAGCATAGTGTAGAAATCATGATTCACCCAACTCATAGGTGTACATTCCTACAACCTGATGCAGGATAGCACATTATGCTTACGATTAGGGCAGGTGGTGTCATTGACGATGATAATTCATTGTCTTCATATGGGTTTAACTTTGAATTGAAATATGTGATGTGGACAGGAGTTAAATGTATTGGCCAGTCGAAAAAATCCTTGCATTATACTTTTAAAATACGACTGGTTCAAAAGTGAATAGCCTTTGCTGTTGCTATTAGCTTTGAGTCAGTTTGTAGTTTGTAAGGACTGTGTTACTCAGTGCCAGGTGATCAGTCACAATTAATGTGTGAAGGCTGATATTGTTACCTAGTTGTCCAGGCTGGAGCCGGATTCGAACTCCGTGACCCCACTGACTAGAAATCGCGTGCTTGAGCCAATAAACCACATCTCCACAGTACTTTAGAACTTCTGTTTGTGATTTGAGGTTTCATAAAACAGCTGTCCATTCACAGCTTTTTAGTTAGCTATGGTGATTACTTATTTCTATTTCGTCAAATACTAAAAGTGAATTCGACACTGTCATCATCGAATAAACTTAAAATGATGTGTGTTTTACGTAGTATGTGAAATATGGTCATGATTAGCAACTATACCCGTCTAATGTAGTAATAGTTCAAATTTAGTACTTAGCTCTATAAAGATCAGCATTTTTAATCTTATTGTACAATATTTTTACTTTCTGTTTTTGTATTTTCTTCTTAGGGCGCACTATGTCAGCATTTAGTGTCTTTAGTGCAATGGGTAGCGTGCAATCGTCAACTTATGCGTTTGGATAACGCACATAATCTCAGTATATTAGGACGCCTTATTTTGGTAACTGTTCCTGCACTCATCCGAGCATCATCAGAGCAAATTTCTACTGGTCTTTATGTTCTCTACCTCTTTGTGATGAGATTCTCTGAATTTTCTAGTAACTTGAATCGTCGTCGGTTAGCGCTTTATACAGTTCTGGTACGTGGTTTGTCTCAAGTAACTGGTCCATTTATGACAGATAGTGAAATCAACCGGGGTGTTTTGCCAAAGTCACTTACAGATGAAGAAAAATCCAGCAAAAAGATGGATACTTCTGGCCGTGTAGTTGAAACAAAGATCTCATTACGTCCAAAAGATAGTTGGCTTGGTAGTTGGTTATGGGTGTCATCGTTAATATTTTTGAATAAAAATTGGCAGACGCAATCAATTGGTAAGTTCAAAATGGTGAATATAAGCTGGAATTTCTTTCAAGTAGATTAATGAACTCCAGATGTATGTTACTCATCCTATTAATTGTTTAGTGTCTTCAAAGAACTTGTTGATTGATCAGTCACTATAAAACTCTATATAAACTGCCACTTTTGTATTTGAATTTTTGAGAATTTAGGGTGGAACAGTTCAGTACTTAATGAGGCGTTCTGAGTTGTCATTGATGATATGACAGAACTTGTTCAGTCTCACTCGTGAAGTCAATCATAAGTTAAAATGCTACTTATTAGTAAAGTATTCGCACTTTTATATATCTCGATTCTTGTGTTCCTAGTGGAGCCCAGAGTTTCGAGCTCTGAAGTTTCAGTGACCGGAGATTTGTTGTTGTGGAGTCGATAGCTCCATGCCCAATCTTTCCACTTTTCCGGGCTTATTATCGGCTAGGAATCTAGTCGAGGTTTAAGAGTGCCTAGGTCAAGATTCGAACCCTGGACCACATGGGTTGCTGGTGAGCATTCCACCATTGAGTCACCGACGCACGTGTTTGCAGAATGTATCTAGCTACTGGAAGTAGAATTTCAGACGGAGCATACATTTTCTGTAGGATACAGATATGTCTTGTTATACGCAACTGTTCAGTACGAAATATAAAACTATATGGAAACAAGGGTTATCTGCTGACTGATAACAGCAAATAGTTAACAGATAATTTAGTGAACTATCCGCATCATGTTCGATCACGAACTGACTGCAGTTAGAGAACCATGAAATACCAGACAGTAGTGGATAGGCATTTCCCTTTAGTTTGGGGGGTTCCTAACAGTACTTTCCCACGACCTGACGAGAGCTTGAACGCGATACATTCAGGCTAAAACTGTCCAGTACTTCCTGGTTTTAAGTGGTTTTCTGATTAAATTCAATTCGTTACCAAACTTGGAATTCATTATAAATTATTTAAATTAACCCCAGCGTGTTAAGAAAATCAAAAGATTTTTCTGAACATTTCGCTGTGTAATTGTTGTGTCGTTGTATCATTTTTGCTGTGAGTTTGACAGTATCATTATGAGTAGAATTTGCCGCATTTCTGTCATGAAGACTAACTAACTAACCAAATAACTTAAGATATCGATATCGGTTCTGTTTTAACCAAAGTCAAAAGGATTTGTAACTCAAATTTTAGAACCGCTCATAATTTTCAGATTATCACTAGGTCTCGTGGTAACCTATTTCCATTTTTTCTTGTTTCTTTACTTTTCTAGCTGATGAAGTTGGACCTTTTCTTATCGACTTATTTTGTCACTTTGGATGGGATCATCAAGTGGTTGGATTATGTGAATGTATAGATTTCCTGATATATTTGTGTGCTAATTCTTGTGATTATAAAATTCATGAAGTAAGTTATTCTAGAAAGTATTATTTCCACACATTACTAGTTATCTTCGTCTATTCTGTGTTAATACATTATTTATAAACCTATTTCACTAACTATAAAAATAGCTGTAGGCTAAAAAGGAACGCTTCCTTTTGATAAACTCGTTCACGAACGCGTATTATGAAGGATAGAATAGTGGAAAACTAATTTTTAGTTAAAGCATACTAAATAATGAATTGCAAGTTACTGGATGTGAACAGTGATTTTAGACTAAGGTGCCATGATGGATGTTAAGAAGTGAAAAACTAAGTTTGTACAGAGGAGTTACCCAGAAACAGGGACCGCATTAACTATACATTCGTATATATTGTTCCTAAAGTTAAGATTCAGTGCAGTTTGGATGGCAAGATTATTAAGGAGTCGCTTGCCGCCTCTACTTGTAAAGACGACCTCCACTCCTTCATTCTGCGACCCTCCGTCTACATCTACCCAAAGTTTTGATTATTTGTGAAAGGATTGGCTATGAATAACGATCGCTTCACCAATTTATTTGTTCTTATGGTTTCACTTAACCTTTGCTTATTTAAAAGTTTTACTATGACTAACTTCTTATGGATTGTAATATAAACGGAGGTTGTAATACTCACACTTTTTGAGAAAACTGATTGTGATGATTTTACATTTTCACTCGGAAAAACTCCTAAGCGAAGATATATTCCTTTATTTTTATTCTTTCTAAATGTCTTGAAAAGCTCTTGCACAAGATATCAAGGGATTTCCAAAATGAGGCAGTTGCAATGAAGTCTGTAATAGTTGTTAAATGGATTTATTCACATGAATTTAGGTGTGTCAACTTATCTTTTTATAAATTAACTAATTAGTGCTTCTGCTTAGCAAATACAACAAAGATGATTGAGCTTGTAATACTATCCAATTTTTTCACCTAGGCTTTTTGAATGTATTCATTAAGATCAGTGCAGTTCGGTTTTGTAATGTTGTGGCGCATTAGATATAACTGTCCTTACAGTTTCTAAACATTGTATTTGACAATAGTTCCCATCGATATTGTAATCATTGACACAGATTGCCGTCATCATTTTGAACGAGTCTGTCTGTCTGTTTGTCTGGATTCAACATAGAACTTGGCACCGAAATGCACCAGTTCGAGTTGCCACGTTCCAAATAGCACACAAAGGTAGACAAGAAGATGAGTGAAGAGAATCAATGCAGTCTGACAAGTATAAGAGTGAAACAGAATGGGTAATGATAGAAAGGAATATGAAAGATTACAGAGACTGAATACATATGCGCTGGCCATTGACAACGATTTTGAGCCATGTCACCTATTGTCTCCAGCCATTGATTCCTAGAGTCCCGAGGGCCCCAACCCGGAAGTTTGCATCTCCCTACCTGACCGACTCAGTTTAACTGTCAAGGATTTCATGGATTGATGAGGCCATGTTTTTGTTTGGCCACCATTTACTCTTTTCCAACCTGCAGCTATATCAGCTAGTAATGCCCGTCGGAGAAGGCGATGGTGAGGCATGCGCAGCACGTGACCTAGCCATCTCAATCTATGTAACTTTATAGCCACGTCGATTGATTTTTCCTCTTTCAACGAGTAACTATAACCGTGCCCATACTAGTTATACACTTTATTTTATAGTCTACTAGGGGAGTGAATGTTTCTCAGAATGAAGTGTTTAGATTATTAAGATGTTTTAGTTTCTTTTGTATTTAAGTGCATTCAGGTACTTGTGTGTGGCATGTTCTACTGACAAGATTTATCAGTAGTATATGAAGAGACGTTCACTGGCACAAAAACATCAATTGACGGAGAGATAAATTTGACGTCAGTATTGTAGCAAAATATGGGAGAGATGAAAAGAAGACAAAGGAACAATACGATGGACAGAATTCGCACAACACGGAAGATCTGTGGTAATAACGGAATTCATAGTATGGTGCACATATCCCCCCCTATATATGTATATCAAATTGCAAGTAAACATTCCGTTACCAAGTCTCTTGTCTTCTCTGGTTACACTTGTATACCGTTAACAAACTGATCTTATTCAATGCTTTTAATTACTATAAAATCAAACCAAGCTGAAAGGTGTGTGTGTGTGTGTAAAGTAAAGTAAAGTAAACTCAAACGACTCGTCGCTCATAAGCACTGCATTTTCACTGTGCAGTAGCGATTTATTCAAAGTCTTTCATCAACCCAGGTGAAAAGTAAGTATTGTTGATACTCAGCATTGTGGGGATCTTCATATCTATCTACTGACAATTATTTCAGTAAAATCCCTTTCTACAGATAGCGTTTGTCAAAGTATTCTGCTACTAACAGACAAATACTTCATTTCGGCGTTGCATAATACTGGCCATCTTAACATACATAAGGTCTCTCCAGTTGAACTTAAATTCACTGAATTTCATTTGCATCTATTTCAAATTTATTGCTTTCATGTTTCTTTTTGTGTACTTCTGTTTTCTTCTCCAGATCACTGGATCAGAAAGTTCCACTGCTTTTTGCATAGAAATTGAACAACCTAAAAAACGACGAAAGTTAAGCGCCTCCTATGTGAATCCGAATGAGTCGCCAACAAATAACACCCAGCTTGTTGCACTTGAATCTCAGTCAAATGAGAATGATACGCATTCATCCTCAAGCTCATCATTTAGTCAATTGGCATCTTTTATTTTTAATTCAGACAAGGTATGCCAGACAAATGAAACAGTATCTAAGATACTTAGTATGCCAGCTGTTGTCACTTTGAGTGATATATGGTCACTAGTCAATCGAACTGTTCAATTCATTGTTGTATTGATAAAAAATCCTGATTATTGTGCTAAAGTTCAAGAGGCCTTTAAAGATCCTTCAGGTTTAAGTGCTGTTTACGGCCGATTAGTTGAACATATTGTTCAATTGATGCTAATTGTAGCTACTTTCTCTACAAAAGTCAGAAAGTCAGGTGAAAACGTATCAGAGGTTATTGCTTGTTCTGATGAAGCATTGTCTGCTCTACAATCAATTGTAGTTCAAGTTAGTTTATTATTTATTTTATTTTACTGCGTCATAATTTGTTAGTTTTTATGAACATGTTTTTACCCAGATAATTATTTTATGCGTTATGCCAATTGTCATCATCCGGAGGTCCGTAAGGATAATAATCGAATTCTGGAGTTCACAGTTTGGGTTAATTCATTAAATTGTTTAAAGAATATGAATTATTCCTTTTTTAGTTTAAGAAAGCTGAAAGCAGTTAGTGTTAACTTTGTTTTGCTTCACAACTTTTTATATCTTGTTTTGATTTTGTTCCTTTACCTCCTCAATGGAACGAAGGACTTCAAGCTAGAGCTTTGAGGTTTCGGTAGCAGTGATTTTACTTTTTACAGGGTGAAGTTGCTAGCCTCACGCTTAAACTTCCCCCTTTGCCGGTCCTATTACCGGCTTAGCGAGGTCTAGAAGTGCGTCGGTCAGAAATTGAACCCCGGGTCACGTGCTTGGTTGGCGAGCGTTCTACCGCCGACGCACAACTTTTCATGGGAGTTTATTAGGGCGCCTTAGTGGGGTAGGTGTAGTCAGTGTGCATAACTCTATGAGATTATTATACTGTGTAGATCTGTAATTTTGTCGGATGAGATTAGGCAAACTGATTAGAAGTACCATATAGCAATAGTCAGCCGCAACGTACCTGTGTAGTCGGGAGGATTCAGTCTCATCAACTTACAACCATGGTTATTCAACTAACTGTAGTCGCCAGAGACCACTTCAAAATTTCTATGTATACTGCAAATTATGCGACTGAATATACATATATATATACTCACAATGGAAGTATATATATATATTACTTGGACAGTGTATAAACTGGCATATGGTTTTAAAAATTCCAGCCTGATTTATTTTTTAGTACAAATTAATTCATCACATGGATATTATGGAGTTGTGGCTCGTTGGCGGAAGTACTAGGCTTTCTGCCAACGCATCCCGGGCTCGAATCCCGTCACACCTTTTCATCCTAGGCGACTGGGCAGTATCATCAATCTGTGTACAGTAAGTGTATGACGCATAGCCCGAACTGTGAAAAACCTGTTGCGAGAACTGAGTTATGCGTACTAAGTTTGGTTCAGTAAAATACATTCGATTAGAAATCTAAACTACTCTCAATTGTTTGCAATTTTTCAGCGACCTCATCATATGTCTGTTTTATTCATAAAGTGTTTTGTTGTCCAAGCTTTATTGAACTGGATTATTTTGATTAGTTTTTCAGTTTTTAGTTGTCGATATACATAAAGTTTGATTTTCAATTCTCTCTTATTTCTTTGCACAGATCTTAGACTCTGTACCTGGGCGAGTATTTATTTCAATGGTCTCCAGCTTGTTTGCTTCAGATAATCGTGGACTTCGCCGTAAAGCATTAGATTTGTTATCTGCTAAATTGTCAAACCTTACCGCCAATATACATCCAGTTCCAATTTTAGTTGACTTCAATAAAATGAATTATAAATCTTACTTAAAATCTCACAAGCAATTAATTAACCGAAATCTTGTTAATTTGGATAATACACTGGAGACTGGTTTGGTTCAGTTTACTGGAAAACTGACATCATTCTATGGTGTGAAGAGTAATCAGCTAAATGATAGTCAAATACAGAAGAGTGCCACTGTCTTTGGTTCGCCATTCTCTCGTCAGTGCCTGGCATGTCTGAGAAGTTTAGCAAAATTGCTAGCTTACCGATATCCTGGAGAATTCATGCGTGTAAGTTTCCATACATCATCTCTATTCTTTATTTAAGAAAAAGCATTACAAAGCTACCAGTCACATCACCATATGTCTAATCTTATTGTGTTACAGAACTGCAAGGAAATAAGTTTTGTGCATACTATTTGACAGTTTTTAAGTTGAACGACCTCCTAAAGCCGTAGTTATTGGAAGAAAAATACGATCATCACTTGTGCTTTGTAATTTGCTTCAGTATCCATTTCTTCCATATTCTTCCTTAAAATATGTGCATCCTAAAGAATTCTCCTTTATGCACTTAATTTTAGGCTCTGGATAGTTTAATGTCTCTTCCTGGCAATTGGTGGATATCTGTTGGGCCCACAGAAACTCCAGAAGTTCTCAGCGATACTGGCCAGACAACAAATCCACGCAGTCTCCCCTCTGGATCATCTTTAGCTGAGTCACGATCTTTGGCTTGTTTATTCTTTGTCGAATGTCTTCAACGTTTACCTCCGCAATCCTTATATCCAGAAGCTAGTGCAACATCATCCCGTTTGGGCTGGTTACTTTCCTTTGCTTTAGATCATGCCTGTACATGTACATCATTTATCCCTTCACCAAGATTATCGGCAAAACGTCATGGTTTTGTAAACTCTCCATATAAATCAGAACATCAGTGTAAATTAATAACTGGTTCAATGCATTCACGGGATCAACATCTATTGGTAAGATAATTTTTTCCAATTGATAAGTATGGATCAATGGTATAGTGAAATAGTAGAGGGATGTTTATCATCACAAATTTTACTCATTATGTCTCTTTATAATCGACTGAAATTGTCCAAGATATAAAAATATCGAAAAATCGTAATTATTAAAAAAAACGACTAAGAAGGCCACATTTGTAAACATTGAAGCCTTAAGCAAGATATTATGATTATTGAAGTTTGTGTCTATAGTTAAATATTAATGTTATCTTTCACAGATTTTTGAAAAATTTATTTATGACCAGTACTTTAAATTGGCTACACTGCATATCTGTTGAACACTGTGTAAGATAATATTTTAGCTAGACGGATTTATCAGCTTAAGTACTCAACTTTCAACCAATGGGCTACGTCTACTTCAGCCTGGAAAGCTGGGCAGTAGCATCAGTTCTCACACAACATGTGTGACATATAGCCTGGTACATAAAAAAATCTTTTTTATACGACAAAGTTCTGACTGTTAATGTAATGTGTAGAACCTGGGCACTGTGATAGAATGTCTGACTAACTCACTGACCGGCTTCAACATAGAACTTTGCACCGATGTGTAGCAGTTCGACTCGCCACACTCCATGTAGCACACAAGGCTAGAGAAGAAAGTAAAAAGAAATGCAAAATAGAGACAGTAGACAGAGATATGAGGCAAAAAGATTAGTAATATTGAAGAACAATATAGTTTTATTGGATATTATAAGTTACAAGCATCTGCACCAGCCATTGACAACGATTTTGAGCTATATCACCAATTGTCTCCAAACATTGGTGTTTACTACGTGGATAAAGCTAACTGTTGTGGATTTCATTGACTCATGAAGCAATGTTTTGGTTTGACCACGACTGTCTCTTTTCCGACTTAATCCTATGTCACCTAACGTTGCCTGTTGTCGCGGGAGGTGATGGCTAGACATGTGTAACACATGTCTTAACCATCTCAGTCTATGTTACTTCACAGCCTCGTGTATTGATTTCCCCTCTTTACCTAGCACTCGACTCATAGCCTCAATATTACTCACCCTACTATACCACTTCACACGGGAGATAGGATGCAATCGCCTATGATCAAAGACAACTAGCCAGGCTTTCCATGTCTTCCACTCTCAATGTCCATGTATTGCTCACAGCCAAAAGGGAGGACGGAGCGGACTGCTGAGCAGTACATACGTCCTTTGATCGCTAGTCAGCCGGATATCACTTCCACTGAGCCAGATGGTGTAAGTTGGCATATGCTCAACGAGCCTTCAGCATCCATGCTGAAATATCCTCTGCGATCCACCTGCTGGCGTTGGCTGATGCAGCTTCCCAAACAAGTGAACTGGTCAACACACTCTACCTCTTCACTCCCTGTCTTTAAGCTAGGAGTAGTTGATGTAGTCCAGTCCTGGAGCATCATCTTATATTTGACAGCAGGAACGAATCGCATGCATACTATTCAAAGATTGCTCACTGCTCAAGGTTTTTCAGAAGACTCTGCTCTATTTTGTCAGCATCTTTACGTAAGAGGACTATATCGTCTGCACATTCTAAGTCGATGAGATTATTTTCACCCTGGTAACAAGTCAATACCTGGGTCGCTGAAGTAATGTAATTCCATATCAAATAAGTTTATTTCCAATATCACACAGCGATGCAGTCTTGATAACTGGATGACGTTTCGAGCAGAATTTATTGCTTATAATCATATCGATTGAGCTTCCGACCAACTTCTGCTGAACAAGTCAATACGTGTGTCCATCAATAAACTGATATTCACCCCCATCTTTAAAAATTTAGTAGCCTTCAGTTCACTAAGACTGCTAGTATTCGAATCAGTTGGTACTTTCAGGACTATGCAGTAAAGTAGAAGGGTGAATGAGTTTAAATTTATTTTTTATTTTCATTCATCAATTTAATTACATCGTTGTTAATCTGTTGTGATAACCTGTATCCTTTAGTTAGCAATTTTTTGGAGTGGCACGTTTTATTTTTTAGTCTAAATGTTCAACTGTGAAGATTGTTACTCTCTCATCATTTGGTATACAAAAGAGTATTTAGTTAGATTTTCCCTGACCCTCTTGTTTTAAGTTAATAACAATACAGTTCTTAAATGTGTGAAAATTATGCGTTTTTTCATGTTAATTATTTCATCCCACTGTGAAGTATATTTTTAATATAATATTTTCTATACAGGCAAGTTTAACACTTATCAGTAATCTACTAGAAATAGCTATTATTCATCGGCTATGCTATCAATCCAAAAGCGATCATACACCAGATGATACAGAGTCAGCGATTGGTAAGTGGTTGGAATTCGGATTGGCAACGAAAAAGAAGGCGACACATTCTCCAGTTGCTGAATCCGCTTCCATTACGCTATTGAGCTTGTTGTTTCAACTTCGAAAAGACAATTTATCCGTCCTTACTAACAGTAATCCAGAACGTTGTGGTCATATACTTCGTCAGATTGCCAACCTTGTTGATCATATTCAGTAAGTCTTGATGAAATATATTTGAATTTATTGTATTTGTATAATTCTCACGATGACAGCATAGTAATTGTGTAGATCGTCTTTGCCATAACCTAACCCAGATTAATGGCGATAGTAGTGTTTTTTGTTGTTGGCAGATTCAAAGAAAATCAAGTGTGTGTACCTCAAATACCTCCCAAATAGAGTGACTATTGAGTAGGCTTCATTTGAAAGCCAATTCCGAACTAACAAAGCTCAGAAAAGTGTCGAACAGTATAGATTAGAAAATTTCTGGCAAGTCTGTATTTGTTGAATACGTCTTTATGATTAGTTCACATTAGTTGTCTTTTTAAATAACTAAGTGTTTTGGAAGTGTAGTGTAACGTGTTTGTAGTTATGTCAACAACTCACTTCTACAATAATTAATAATTAATATCCATATAATTGTATTTTTTCACGTGTGTGTGTGTGTGTTTACAGTCAACTTCTCCGTCATGTAACAGAAATCAGTTACCTGCTTACAACAATACAACGTGTAATTGAAAAAGCCTCAAAAGAAAGTAATAATGTAAGTGTTCACACTTCGATTTCTGTTGATTGTAATAACATTCCTATGCATTTTGTGTAGGTAATCGTCTCTTTTATGGCGTTTCTTTAGCGGTTTGATAAGTTTAGTGGTGTAGCGTTGCTAGCCCTACGCCAAACCCCCTCCTTTATCCGGGCTTGGGACCGGCTAGAAAACTAGTAAGGTAGTTAAGCAGGCGACAACAATAATTAGCACCAATCACCATCAACGGGAGAGATTTGACAGAGGTTACTTCGTTCACTTATCTAGGGAGCATCGTTTCAACTGCAGGCCACCGGTACAGATGAAGTTGTCAAAGCCAGCCAGAATCGGAAAAGCGAGATACGCCTTCATCAACCTGGAACTAATTTGGAAATCTTCTGCACTGACTCAGCATAAACAACAAGACTCTGATTTTCAACACCAGTGTCAAGTCGGTCCTTCTGTACGGCTCAGGAACTTGGCGTGCGCGTCAGGAAAAGGGTTTCTAACAGATTGCAGACTTTTACCAACAGCTGCATTCACTGGCTGGTTCCATACTGAAGATCAAATGGTCGGTGAGAAAGAATTAGTTACAAGAAACTCTGGCTGGAAACAACCAAGATCCGGATCACTCAACAAATATGCAGGAGGAAGTAGAGCTGGATTAGGTATACGTTGAAGAGGCCGTCGAATGGCATGGCGCGCAACGCAGGCCATCGCTTGAGTGGAATCCCAGTGGGAAGCGGCGACGAAGTGGGTTGTCGGTGCGAGGATGACGTGTAGGAGATCGTGTGAGTTAGAGATTATAGGCTATCGTGGACCTAGCTGAAGAGGAGAGCAGAAGATAGAAGGAAGTGGAGAGGCGTTGTTGAAGTCCTATGTTCCACTCAGAACTCAAGGGAATAATAATAAATAATAATAATTGTCTCTTAGATGTACTTCAACACTCCCGTTGATATACACCAAAATTGCTGTTCTGGTAGGTGTTATTGGAAGAAATGTTTTGCATTATTGGATAGTCCAGTGCATTATACTATCTCTCACGTTCTTAAGAAGGCTATAAGGTTGAAAGGCACATTGCTATGAAATATGCGTTGCGCAATATATTAGGTTAATTTTATACAGCCGGCCCCCTTTATTATAGTTTGAATAAAGAAAGAACGAACATATTTGCAGGATAATACGAGCTCCTTTTATTTCGTGGATTCTCTTCAACTGTGTACATTCAAGTGCACTGGAGTTTGTGTACATAAATGAGAAATCTGACTGACTGACTGATAGAGTTTCAACATAATAATCTGCACAGAAGTGCAGCAGTTCGAGTTCCCCCTCTTCACGTGGCACACAAAGGTATAAAAGCTAGAGAAAAAGAGATTCAGAAGAATTAATAATAAACAGATATATGAGGGGGAAAAGTAGCTTTAGGAAAAAACACTGAGGTTTAGTGAATTTGAAACATCACAAAGTGAGAATACATCTGCGTAATGGAAAACGATTTTGAGGTATGTCATCGATTGTATCCAGCTATTGTTTCTTACCATCGCGAGAAACTCCGACCAGACAGTCTACACCTTCCTACGTGGCTCCAGTTCACTCTCAAAGATTTTATACAGTGATTCTAAGTTTTGGTTAGACCACCTGTAACCACCTATTTTCTTCTATTGGTGTGCTTGTTGACTTAGAATATGCCTGCGCTCTATTTCCCGTGTAAAGTGGCATAATAAGGTGAGCAACATGGAGGTTAGGCGTCGAGTTCTAGGTAAACAGGGGAAATCAATCGACGAAGTCGTGCAGTTACAAAGACTGAGATGGTTAGGACATGTGTTACGTACGCCAAGCCATCGCCTCCCTCGACGAGCAATGTTAGCGGATATAGGGTCAGGCTGGAAAAAAGCTAGCGGCGGTCAAACAAAAACTTGGCATCAGTCAATGAAATCCACAACAGTTGGTCTAAGCCAGCCACGTAGGAAGGTGTAGACTTCCAGGCTGGGGTCCTCGGGACGGTAAAAATCTATGGTTGAAAGCAATTAGTGATATGGCTGGCTCAAAATCGTTCTCAGTGGCGCAGATGTATCCACTCCTTGTAACTTATGATCTCCAATGAAACTGTTTTGTTTTTCTTTATTACTCCTTTGTCTCACACCTCTGCTCACTGTCTCTATTATGCTTTTCTTGTAATTTCTTCTGTTGCTTTGTGTGCTACATGGAATGTGGCGACTTGAAGTGCCGCACATTTGTGTAAAGTTCTATGTCGAAAACAGGCAGACATTAGTGTGCTTATTGCCGTGTAACGCTTTCAGGTTTGATTATTTTAACTTGTAATTGTAATAAGTGTCGGAATATGTTACGTAGTTATGTAGTCGTTTTTCTATAGGTGTGCTTCATTGTGTGCTTATGTTTGTTTACTAGTGTTTTTTGAAGTTACTAATTTTTAAACAAAATGTTCTCCCATTGATTTTTAGATTATGTTACATGGTTCTCTATCATTCTTATCCGATTTCGGAGAGTCTATGGCACCTGTTGAAGAAAATGGAACATTCACCACAAAAGATGAAAGTCAACTTCATTCATTTTCAGTATTGCATGCAACAAAACCCGATTTTATATGGCGTCTTCTTCGTACATGTTTGCGCTCAGTTGTTAACAGTATGCTGAATACAGTCAACTTTGAGAATACTACAGAACTAGAGAATAATGATATGCTAATATGTCTATACCGATCTATTGCCAGTCTTATCAGTTCCCTACCAGATGAAGATGCACGTTTCAGAGTCTGTCAACAATTATTTAACTGGAGTAATTCTCATAGTAATGAAGTACAACCAGATTCTGCTGATGATGCTATGGAAAGTGATGTAAATACCTTAGATGAGATGTTTGTACGACTATCAATTGTATTTAGGATAATGGAAAGGTATGTTATTTCTAATGTTTTACTTTTTTCCCCTGCCTAATATTTAAGTTATCTGATCATGTAACCATTTCAACACTAATTTTCACATCTAGCATTTATGTGATCTCTGTTTTTGATACTTATTTCATATTAAACTATCTGTTAACTATATTCTTTTATAACGTGCGAAGAATTGTCGTGTTGTTGTGAAGTATCATATTTAACTGAGTCACATTACTTTAAAGTGTTGATTTGTAAGGATTAGATTTGTTCTTCGAATTTGACCACGGATTGATATCAGTTAGTGAACCATTAAAAACAAGCAAAAAGTATTGGACAGCTGTTTCATCCTAGTTTTGGAATCACTGGCAGTATGCACCCACCACAGGAGGTGCGAACCCTGGACCTTCCGGTACAAGGCAAGATCGTAGACCATTCAGCCACTGGGACCATACTCAATAGCCCATGAATCCTAACTTCTACCAATTCGTGACTTTAGCGTGACCACCCAACTACGATGAAACAGCTGTCCAGTACTACTCCCTGTTGGTTTTTAATGGTTCTCTAACTGATATCAATCCATGGTCAAACCCGAAAAACAAATCCAATCGTTATAAATCAACTCTTGTAAACCAATCTGATACTCGCTACAAACTTGCTACAGGATGGAGTTTCCTGGAGTTCTAGTGAGAAGTTGTGACCACTGAGGTCCATCCAGTCGGGAGTGACGATGGATTCCCCGCCGATTACATTAATTCAATTTGTTATAGTGCATTTCATCCTGAAGAAGAAATCAGATGTAGACTATTAGTCCTTTTTCTTCCGAGGGAGAAATGGAGTTTCACACTTGAGATTTGAAGTTTCGCTAGAGCTCTTTTTTGCTTTTTTGTTACTGGGCTTACTAATAGCTAAGTAAGGTTTGAGAGTGTATCTACCGGGAATCGAACACAGACCACGTGTGTGGTTGAACCGTCGACGCATTAGACACTATCAGATGAAGGGAAAAATTCAGAATTTTAATCGACGCAAAATTCTCGTATTGACTCATGAAAAGATCCTTGATCAGTTGACTTCATCTTTACAAAATATGTGTCTGTCTGTCTGTTTTCGACATAGAACTTTGCACAAATGTGCGGAAGTTCAAGTCGCCACAATCCGTGTAGCACGCTAAGCAAGAGAAGAAAGCACAAGGAAAGCGTCATAGAAACAATGAGCAGAGGTGTGAGACAAAGGAGTAATAAAGAAATACAAAACAGTTTCATTGGAGATCATAAGTCACAGGGAGTGGATGCATCTGCGCCACTGAGAACGATTTTGAGCCATGTCACCAATTGTTTCCAACCATAGATTTTTACCGTCCCGAGGACCCCAGCCTGGAAGTCTACACCTTCCTACGTGGCTGGCTTAGACCAACTGTTGTGGATTTCATTGACTGATGCCAAGTTTTTGTTTGACCGCCGCTAGCTTTTTTCCAGCCTGACCCTATATCCGCTAACATTGCTCGTCGAGGGAGGCGATGGCTTGGCGTACGTAACACATGTCCTAACCATCTCAGTCTTTGTAACTGCACGACTTCGTCGATTGATTTCCCCTGTTTACCTAGAACTCGACGCCTAACCTCCATGTTGCTCACCTTATTATGCCACTTTACACGGGAAATAGAACGCAGGCACCTATGATCAAAGACAGCTAGTCTTTTCATGTCACAAAATATGTGTAAGTGATACTTTTATGAATTCTGATAAAGAATTCTACTTAGACAAATCTGTTCGACAATTTCAGCACAGCAGAAAAACCTTCCGCAAAATTCAGTCTGAACTGAGAATCAAGATTTCCTTTTCCATTCGTCGATATGGAACTTACTAGCAGATCAAATACCTTAATCCAGAAGTCCAGTTAATTGATAACTAATATGAACTAGACATTTGATTAATTTCTTTACCCTATATCCTACTGGTCGTTGATTTAAGGTAGCATATATCCATTTATTTACTAAATGAATCGTAAACTAGATATCAGATATTTCTGTGTGACTCACCATCCCATCTGTCAATATTAAGCAAGCAACCAAGTATTCCTTTTGGTGTGATGAATTCGGTTTAATTTTTCTAACATTAGTTGGTTGACTTAACCTCAGATTTTAATATTCACTTCTGTTTTATTCCCAGTTCATTAGGTTCTGTTGTAGCTGCATTTGTTCTTCTTTGATGTACAGTCAAGTTCATGATATATTTTATTATTTAGAATTGTTTACTTATGTGATGTCAGTCAGTAGGGCGACTGTTATCCCATTGGATCATACCGTTGACATTGACACAGGCACTTGATGTCATGCAACAAATTTTGTTAAAAGGATTTTGTCAGACTAGGAGCATCCACTTTCCCCCCAGCGTTTACCTTGCATCTCCTCAGGTAAAACAAATAGTCATTTCAAAAGATTTTATACGCTCACGTCTAAGGATAAAAATTCCAGGATATAATATATGACATGTATTTTATGTGATGAAAATAGTTTCAGGCACGAACTAACTAACTAACTAACCAACCTTCTTTCCACTAGTAAATAAACAGTTTACTTCATCCTTATACCGTCAAGCTTCACTGTTATTCTTCTTCTTATATATTCATAGTCCTATTCTTTTGTCTTGTTTATTTCTTCATAAGTGTAAAACATCATTTAAGCTCTGTAATAACTGTTAATGTTTTGCTTTTCCCTTCATCATGCTATATATCTATATCAAGAGAAAACATTAGATTCAATACCCCTGTAACATGCTAAAATTTACAAACTGTATCGACAATACTGTTTGAAACAAACCCATCGTTATTATTACCACTACTATTATTATTATAGTTATTATCGCCATTTTGTACTTTATACATTTTTAACTTCGCTCCTACCGTAAATGTGGACAAATTCCTGTGGTTAGTTTTATTTATTAATTTTTTATTTCCTTCACGTTCTCAGTGGAACATAGAGCTTCAGGCTGGAGGCTTGAAGTTTCTGTAGCAGTGGTGATTATTTTTACAGGATGAGGTTGCTAGCCTCATACCCAACCTACCCTCTTTACCAGTCTTATTACTGGCTAAGTGAGGTAGAGGAGTGCGTCGGTAGCCGGTGATCGAACCCCGGACCATGTGAATGGTCGGTCAGCATGCTAACAGCTGTGCCACCGATGCACAGTTTTATTTATATTTTGAGTAAATTAAATGCTATATAATAAAATCCTGCTTTTGGAATAAGGCAGACTATCATTATTATTATGAGTATTATTAATGCTTACTATAAAAATTATTGACTTATCTCTAAATATCCATTGACCTTCTTACATTTTCTATAGGATTCCAAACTATATGAATGCAGAAGAATATTCTGAAATGACTAAACAGTTATTCTTAGTTGATCATATCGTTTTGGTGTTCATTATCGCTGTAGGTCAAAAATTCAAAGGTATGTTGCATTTAAGAAAAATATACTTTCAATTAGTTGTCTGTTTTTGCGTATCTTGATCACTTAAGGGATTACTTAAACATAACACTTACACAAAATTACTTTTCATCAATACATATTCGTTGAATAAGTTCCATCGCAGTGATAAGGTACTTGATCCTGCTCAAAAAGCCTGTTTGATTTTGGTATACATGTCGAAATTCAGTAATGCTTATTATCGATGCTGTTTGGACCTTGCTTTGAATAATTGGTTTAACTGTTCTGTTGAACACAGACGGATCTACTGCTTTTGCCATGAATTTCTTGACTTTGTTAATCTATACGCATTGTTCAGTTGTATTTAAATGGAAAGTTTATCAATTAAGTATATCTCCTTACGAAAAATTCTATGTTGAGACGCCTGTTCTTCAATCAGTCCTGTACATTGGTGACAATGCCTTGTCTTTGTTTGATGAATACACAGAAATAATGCTGCGGACTCTACAAGATAATCAGCAATGGTTTGTGTGTGTGAAGTAGTTTCTGCATCTTCCTTATCCGTAAGCAGTTTCAAGGTTGAGTATTAAGAAGTAGACATCATTTATGATACAGTCAATAGCGCTATGATGAACCGTATATCACTTAACGTGTTCTTTACCTACTGTTCATTATTACAGCGAGTGCAGTCTCGAACAAAGTTGAATTTAGTTGTGATAAAGTGAAATATATAGCTGTAAAGTTACTGAATATTTGCCTGAGCCATATTATGAAAGTGTGATTAGCCTGAATAGAGTTCTCATAATATTCCTCTATGGTGCCTGGTTCAGAAGTGATTGACTTGTGACCATGCTACATCTTCGTGCAGCTGTTATTTGTTTATTTTCACCCTGTTTTACTCTTGTAACGGGGTACAACTATGGATGATTCCTTCCCCAATTAATTAATTAATTAGTGATATTCATTGGTTTTTTAAAATCCCTTATGTTCCCAGTGGAACATAGCGCTTCAAGCTTGAGCTTTTACGCTTTAGTAGCTGTGATTTTAATGTGGTTGTGTTCTCTGAGCTGGATAGTTAATTTGCGAAGCTTTCATTGCCCTCTACGAGACAACATCTTTAGTACTTACTTCAAATTGACTTGACTTCAAATTGAAGGTTGCTAGCCTCACGTCTAACCTTATCTCTTTAGCGGGGCCTACTGTCGACTAATAGGAGTTAAGGAGTGCGTCGACAGGGGATCGGTCCCCGAATCACCTGCATAGTTGCCTAGTATTTTACCAATAAACCACAGACGTGATATTCACTGTGTTCTGTTGCTTTACAGGGACACTAGGTCCTGTGCTAACAGTCTGTGTGTGTGTGTTTCTCTGTCTGTGCAAAGACATGTTTATTGTACACCATAAACGTACAGACTGCTTACCGGTACAGTTGCCTCCTTTGAGTTACACGCAATGCGTCTTGACGTTTTTGAGTTCCACTTCTCACTCATTATCGATTTTGTTGTACAACTTCGAAACACGAAAATTCATTTATATTTAAAATATGTTTCAATCATCATTGTGTTTTCTTCGACGTTGATTTTTCCAGCAGTTCTGTTTTAAATAGGTTGATGAATAAATTATGGAACCATATTCCAACTTCCAGAGGTGCTTAATTCCTATGATAAATGTCCTGTAAAGCAGAGTACCAGAGAATGCCATTATTTTCTTAGTCAATGATACTTTCTGTTATTCGTTTAGTGAAATTATTTTATGACAAAAAAAGTTTATTGAATATTGTTCTTGTAGACGAGGAACTACCCAATGCATTGAATGTTTCCTAAAACATTCAACTTTTTATTAATAATAAATGACTTTCTGTAATTTTTGTTGTATTCATTTTTCTTTCATAGGTGCTAAAAAAATCGCCAATCGATTAGGATTTACACACTCCCTTCGTTGTTATGCTGATGGTGCTACGCCTAAAATTATTGCTTGTGTTCGTTCCTCATTGTCTTGTTTACAAAAATGGCTTATCGGTGAAGTGAAAAATGTTGCCTGTTTGGATGCAGCTTCAGCTGGTGAATCAACACTGTATATTCCATCAGTTTTAATCGGATTACTCGATGTGTCTTCTTCTTCCTCCTCCTCCTCAAATTCATCACCAATTACTGAAATTGATTTACAAAGTGTTTTGGCTTCATTTTTGGATGCAGTATGTGGTGATGAAGCTTTTCTACGTCCCCTTGGTTCTGCACTGACTGAACGGATTATGCATTCTTCATCTTGGCGTACTCGATTAGCTGGTATTCGTCTGTTGAAATTTGTTTTCAATCATTCAAGGGATCAATCAGCTGGTAATAATAATCAAGGTGTTGTAATTGATTCAAAACATCCTGGTCCTGTCAACTGTATTATATCAGATTCTCTATTAGCTTTATCAGAAGCCTTAGAAGATGATCGACCAGAAGTGGAAGCTGAAGCCAATAAGCTATTTGCTGAACTAGAACAAATGGGTTTAACTGCTACAGAAACAAGAACTAATTAACTAGCTGACTAACTAATTAACTGACCTAGCCCCGGTTATCATTTGAAATGAACTTGTACCAGAAAAACAGAACTTATTTTTGGAGATGAATTCCTCTTTGTACAGTGTGTCCTCAAGTGCTTTCCAACCTTTGTGAATATAAAATTTCTTTTGAGAAATGATAGTATTTTAATCTGTGTTCCTAGCGCAACTTATCTTGTAATTTATCTCTTGTTATCAGTGAAATGGCATCCAACAAATCTACTACTTCCCCTCTTTTATTTACAGGATATCCTAGAATTGCATATTTTTTAGACTTCGCATGGTTTTATTTCTGTCTGTCGAAGGGAAACGGTGCTGCATAATGGGCGGCACTGGTTGATTTTGTGATTATTGTTCTGATATGAGCATGTTTATCACCTTGGACTATGAACACAGTCCTTTAACTCTTATTTATGTCTGTAGAAATCTTATAGTAACTAAATATTTATACTTTGTAATTAAGTTGGAGGGATTTTCTTTGTCCTCTATCACAGTCGTGTGTATTGTGAGACAAAGGTATTATCTACTCATGTTCACAAGCGTTGGTTAGATTCTTCTCAGAGAGTTTATAAATCAATTTGGCGGTCTTCACATTGCACTGTACAAGGTGGAATTTCACTACAGTTTCTTTTGGAAATCGGAATTGTTCAGATCTCAATTTGTCATCTTCTTGATACCATAGATAGCAGTCATGAGAGCAATGATGAATGTGTGGTGGTACATACTACTGATTGATCTGGTTTGAGTAGTTGAACACTACTCACACCAATGAGTCGTGCTTGCTAGCTAGAATGAAGCGATGCAAACACCCTGAATGGGTGTTTCACTCATTTGGGGATGTTTTCATTAGCTCTATACCTAGGATGACTGAGAACAGAAAGCCATTTATTTTTCACTCTGAAATGACAGTTTCAAATTCAGGTTTCACAAGATAAGTAATGTTGATGTTAGGCGTAGAGTGTTGGGCAAAGAGGGAAAATCAATCGATGAGGCTATAAAGTTACATAGATTGAGATGGCTAGGTCACGTGCTGCGCATGCCTAACCACCGCCTCCCCCGACGGGCTTTGCTAGCTGATATAGGTTCAGGTTGGAAAAGAGCCAGTGGTGGCCAAACAAAAACATGGCCTCATCAATCCATGAAATCCTTGACAGTTAAACTGAGTCGGTCAGGTAGGGAAATGCAGACTTCCGGGTTGGGGCCCTCGGGACTGACTCTAGGAATCAATGGCTGGAGACAATAGGTGACATGGCTCAAAATCGTTGTCAATGGCCAGCGCATATGTATTCAGTCTCTGTAATCTTTCATATTCCTTTCTACCATTACCCATTCTGTTTCACTCGTATACTTGTCAAACTCTATTAATTCTCTCCACTCATCTTCTTGTCTACCTTTGTGTGCTATTTGGAACGTGGCAACTCGAACTGGTGCACTTCGATGCCATGTTCTATGTTGAATCCAGACAGACAGAGGTGCGTAAATGACTGAACGACCCCCTTGCTTATTCATAAAGGAATCATAATAGGGACAAATTACACAAATAACGTATACCTTTCATAAGTACGTTTGTCCTAATCACAATGAAGGTTGAAATATGTAGGTGTACGTGTGTAGTTTATGTTTGAGAGTCTCTCCATGTACTTTGATTGGACACTAGTTAGTGACTAGTGTAATGTGCATTGTCCTTTGTTTGATGCAGACTGAATTCTATCATTCAAAGTTTACAATGTGGGCCAGCATTCAAAGTGTCTTGCCATCACGGTGCACTTTGAATTGTTGATATTAGATGGATACTGGTTATTAACAAGTGTCCAGTTAAAGTATCCAATACAGTCCTACAGGAGGTCGATCACGAACCTGAATAGCTCAGTGTTAACATCTCTCTCTCCCTCTCTCTGGCTGCAGCACTGGGTGACGTGGGTTCGAATCTCAGAAGGAAAATAAGTTCCTTCAAAGTTGCAGATACGTCTTGCTGACTGGTGAGTGCCAATTATCACGAAACCTATGTCAAATGGGGTTTCTTGCCGATTGCCTCGAACTATCTAATATTAACCGTCTCTTCATATAAATCTGTAAGTCAATACATACTAGAATTTCATTTGTGTTTCTAATCTGGAATTTTATGTTCAAGCAATCGTTGACTTCTCTGGAAAATTGAATAAAGCTTTATCTGTTTCCCAGTTAGTTTACTTTCCTTCATAATTCTTATTAAACTTGGCGCAACTACTGACTTCAGTAAGAGTTACGTAATGTCTTTTATTGATTTTTTTATTCCTTTACGTTCCCAAAGGAACATCGAGTTTCGGACTAGAGCTTTGAGTTTTCAGTAGCAGTGGTATTGTTTTACGGAGTGGGGTTGGTAGCCTCTCGCTCAAACTCCGCTCTTTGTTAGGATTATAACCGGCTAAGCGTGGTATAAAGGTGTGCGCTGGCTGGGACTTGAAGCTCAGACCATGTGCATTGTCGGTCAGCACTCTACCGCTGAACCACCGATGTACTGGTAGTAGAGTAATGGGTAGTAATAATAATCACTGACAGTAAGTAATTGGTATTCTGATCGATTGATTTATTTAGTGAGCAGTATTCCACGCATTGTTCTGCTGTTCCACTGGATTGATTTCTAATCAATAGTTTACTTTAGTGTAAACTCTTGAGAAATAATATAACACAGGAGTGGTTAATGCTTTCTTTACACCTTTGGGCAATGGATTTACTAAACGTCAATATAGAAAACACCGTACTTGTACTTTAATAATACGATCTCATTTATGCCTTGTCACTGGACATAATAGTTCTTTTGCTTCATAAGTCATCTCCAATCTCACCGTTATTATTACAGTTAATATGATGCTCTAATGAACCCATTTCTTCCCATTTGTTTAAGTCAGTAGAACTGTGCGCAAAGCAATAGGGTTTTTGAATACAGGTATTTGATAATCAGCGAAATGGAGGACATTTCCTCTGTCACTAGCAAAACACAATAAACTTTTTATTGTTCCTTAAAGTTTCTAGAAGTATTTATTTAATTGCAGGTGTTGATACAAAACTCATTCAATATTTGTAAACATAAGTTGGTAGATTAAAGTGTATAATGATTCCTGTGAATTAGTTAGCAAATTTCATTCAGATCAGAATTCATTCACATAAAACATGTCTTGGTTCAAACATAATCGCAAACAAAATCCCTACAAAACCAATACTTGAAAATCAAACATAATCAACTTGATAATAGTCATTTAGATTTTCACTGAGCACGGAAACAGAAGGCTTGTTCAGCATATGTCAACTTACGCCGTCTCTGGCTTAGCAGACGTGATATTCGGCTATCGATCAAAGGGCGTGTGTACTACTCAGCAGTTCTCTCTATCCTCCTTCATGGCTGCGAGACATAACCATTGAAAGCAGAAGACATAAAAAGGCTAGCTCTGTTTGATCATAGGTGCCTGCGCTCTATCCCCCGTGTTAAGTGGTGTACCAAGGTGAGTAATATTGTGGTGAGACCGAGAGCGGATCGCTCAGCAGATATGCAGGAGAAAGTAGAGATGGCCTGAGCAAACGTTGTGGAGGCCGTCGAAAGGCATCGCGCGCAATGCAGGCCATCGCTCCAGTGGAATGTCAATAGGAAGCGACGAGTGGGTCGTCAGTCCGAGATTGACATGGGGGAGATCATTTGGGGGGGGGGGAGATTATGAGCCATCGTGGACCCAGTTGAAGAGGACGGCAGAAAATAGGGGAAAGTGAAGACGTTTTGTTGAAGCCCTGTATTCTATTTGAAACCCAAAAGAATAATAATAATCATGTAAACTAATCAACTTATGTCAGTGTGAAAACAAAGAGTGTTAATATGTCTGAACTGAAAATTAATGTCTAAATGAAAGTATAGATGATATGGATAAGAGCAGAACCGTCTCTCAATGTTCATTTTATTATTATTTCCTCATTATTCCTTTCGGTTCGGAGTATAACTTAGGACGTCAGTAGCACATTTTAATTTTGTCCTCTTCTCTGCAGTCGTTTTTGGCATTTAGCGAAGGCAGCTGTTGATAATGATCTGAAGTCCGTTAAAAATGCTTTTTGTGACGCGCCAAGTTTCTGATCCGTAAAGAAGAACTGACGTAACATTGTTGTTGAAAATCCAAATTTTTTTTCTGCAATAGATTTCCAAACTGCTTTCAGAATGATGATGGTCTGCCTTCCCTTAATGATTCTGACTTTGGCATTCTCATCCGTGCTACCTATAGTTGAAACAATTCTGCCTAGATAAGTGAAAAAGTTGGTCTCTTCTAGATTTCTCCTGTTTGGCATTCTTTTTGTTATGGTTTGGTTATCCTCAACAGTTCTGTCTTCTCTATGTTCACTTGAAGTTTTGTCTTTGCTACCAGCCTCTTCTGCCAATTTATTGGTTTTCAACTTTAGATATTGTAGTTGGTGTGACAACAGATATAAATCGCCTGCATACTCTAGGTCTCATTAATACTTTTTGTCTGTTCAAAGTCTTCTTGTCTTCTCCTGCCCCATGACCCATTCCACCACAGTCAGGGACATCATTGGTTATAGTAGGTAGCATCGTCTTAATCTTGTATCTGCTTCAAAGAACTTACTGGGTTTTCAGTTGTGAATCACTTGGTATATGGCATTATTACAGAGATGCTGAATGAGGTTGATAAAGGTTTCGAGCATTCCGTAGTGTCGAAGCAGTCTCCAAATCATTTTGTAGTCAACGCTGTCATAGGCCTTTTCGAAATTGAGGTAGAGATTTCACTTCCACTCTATGCTTTATTGGATGATGATGAATAACGTTGCAATTCGCTTCACACCTGATTTGCTTTTCCTGAATCCATTTTGTTCCGTGCAGAGCTTTTCATTCATTGCATCTTTTATTCACTACAGAATGGCGCCACTTAATATTTAACTTGTCATAGACAAGAGTATGATTCATAACCAGTTCTCGCAGAGGCCTAAGTCCCCCTTCCTCCAATCAGCAAGTACCTTTCTTTCCGTCCAAACTTTTTGTAGCAGTGACGTAAGGACATCGACTGAGGTGTCTGAACTCGTTCTCACTGCTTCTGGGGGAAATTCCGTCTCGTACGGTTGCCTTCCTGGTTTTCACTCACCGTGTGAAATTCAAGTGTTTTGCTTTTTGATACATTTACTGTGAACCATTCAGACAAACTGAAATACGTGGAACAGATGACTGTATAATAAGTGCATATAGTGTATAATGAAGTCAGACAGTCATACATACAGGGTGACAACGTAAATAATTTGGAGCTCCACATCAATATATAACTCGATTATCCTATATTCAATCAGATGTAATCCCATAAAACTTTCGGATTGTTCAATATTTAAATGGACGCTCCTAACGCTGAATGTTTCTCTAACTTCTAAATTTTACGATTGAACACAAATCGATTTGAATTAGTGAACGTTTGAAAACTAGAGAGTAATGAGGAGCTGTTTCGTCTTTATTTGAGATCCGCCAGCAGTACACACCCATAATCCTACCGATGGTCGAACCCAATACGTTCAGGTCACAAGTCGAGCTCATTAACCATTCAGCTATCGTGACAAAATCCAACTGTCCTTAAATTCTTAATTCTGCTTATTCACCATCCAGTAGTCAATGTCATTGACGAGTACTTTCCCTCAGATGCAACCTGGTGAGCTCTACCGGTCACGACTTCCCAAAAGAACTTCAGGCAACTGCATCGTGTAGCCAGTCACCAATGAACCTTAGATTAATTTTCAATTATTGATTCACTGAAGAGTCCCAAACAAGGACTAAACAGGTCTCCAGTACACTCCTTGGCTTTTTACGGTCCTCTCACTGAAGTCAGATCTAATTTTAAATTTCATCATATATAGGAAGTAATAATCTTTATTTATACAGTGGGATTTCTTTCGTTATGAATGTATATATAATATGCAATAAGAGACGATGTTTATGCATAGTAATATTCATTTTTCAGTTATTTATACTAAGAATAATTTACATATGGTGCAATCCACTGAATCAATTGAACCAATATTGAATACAAGTATGTGAAGAAAGCTGTCGTGAAAACAGCTGAATATATATATATATATATATCCCTCTGACTCGTAGGGTATGGCTGTGTTCTTTAAGGATTCCAAAACTCAAAAAGGATTAATGCATACTAAATAAGTAAGTAGGGTTAGTATTCTTGGTTCATTGAACAAAAAACTGTTAAAATTAAATCAATAAAAACACGAAACAATGGAAAACTGAAAAAGAAAATCCAAATTTTGGATTTTAGATATAGTTTTTTTAAAAAAAGCAATAATAACAGATGGAGTGAAATTTCTTTTCTTTCTGCCTTTTTGCTTTTGTAATTCAACCAAAGAATATTTATTCACAGGGAATATTGAAATTTTGATTAAATAAGAACATAATGTCTTATAGGTATCTATCACTTTGTGTTTCAGTGATAGTTTTTTTTAAACTAGATTCGTTGTAAGTACTTGCAACTTGCACTAACACACACACACACACTGGTTTTGATTTACCCGAGAGATTCATTTGATATTAGTTAGAATAGTTTTATTTACACATATGCTTGAATTCAATTAGTATTAATCAGCATTTTGTTCATTCATCCATACATAATTCATTGAACAGGTGTTCTATGGTGTTCTTGATTTGCACTACGTCGGATTACACGATTTAATTTGACTGATGTAACAGCAGGCATTAAACGATTGATAATTAAATGAGGACTAGTACTTGTATTATTATGTTGATGATGTTGATGATATGTTATCATATTATTATTAGCTAATGTAGGCAATGGTGTTGTATCTTTGTGCATTGTTTTTGAATCTATAATAATTAAACACAATGAAAATAATTTATGATCGTTATTAGTGTCAGTTTGATTAAGTATTTTTATTGAAATGAATGAAGGTTTTTCAAGAGTTAATTTGTTCTTCAAGTTTGGCCACAGATTAATAACAGTTAGAGAAGCGTTGAAAACCAACAGGGAGTACTGGACAGCTGTTTCTTCCTAGTTTCGGACTCATCGGCAGGACGCATTCATCGCCAGGGTTCGAACCCAGGCAGGACTTTCCGCTTACAAGGTGAGCATGTAGACCATTCAGCCACTGGGACCTGACTCAGTGGGCTATGAATCCTTAATTCTTCGTGATTTTACCGCTACTAACGCCAGCCATTGTTATCGGCAAGCATTTTTCCTAGAGTTCTACATATCTCTTCCTAATCAAACTAAAATCTTTACAAAAGTTAGTTATCGTGAAAATTAATCTGATGCTCGCTGGTGACTGACGAGTTCAAGTGAGAAGTCGTGACCAGCGTGGTCCATCCTTTCGGGAGTGAGGATAAATGCATGCCGATGACATTGGTTGGGGGTCGCACCGAAATCACGAAATGGGTAGAAGTTAGGATTCATGGGCCATTGAGACGGGTCCCAGTGGCTGAATGGTCTATGAGCTTGCCTTGCAACCGGAAGGTCCGGGATGTGAACCCTGGTGGTGGGTGGGTCCTGCCTATGAGTCCGGAACTAAGATGAAACAGCTGTCCAGTACTCCCTGTTGGTTTTCAAAGCTTCTCTGTTATCAATCCTTAGTCAAACTTGAAAAAAGCTTCTCGTGAAAATTTAACAGAATACACAGGGAAATCACCGATTATATTTCCTGAACAAATCGATCAAGAATCTATTGCTCGACCAGTTTGTTGAAGAAAATGGAGAAGGATTGGACACATGCTAAGGAGGCCGTTTGGGTATGTTGCCTCAGACCGACCATCTCTCAAGTTGAACCCGAGTTGGACGTCCGAGTGTGATATGGTAGAGGTTGTGTGAGGAGGAGAGGAAAGATATGAGCAATCGTGATGTCAACTGAAAAGAAGGGAGGAGAACAGGACAAAGTGGAGATGTATTGCTGAAGCCCTTTACTCCACTTGAAACCAGAGGGGATTATAATAATGAGAATATAAATAATAATACTTATACCATGAAGTGACTACTGGAGATCAACTATTGACCTTAGTCACTGTTGATGACTTCAGTCGTTGATTGGATAATTCACAGTCTATCACAGTAGCTGAAATGAATTTATATTTTGACTTCTGAATCAATCCAAGGGCTAGACGCATGACATTGAGTGCTATGTAATGGCCGTATTGTCTTTACCGTATTCTTCCTCGTTATCTTTTCATTTTCGACTTCACTGCAATAAAAATATTCATTTTAACGTTACTCATCACTTCACTACATAACCATTAATCTTCTTATCTAAAGCTGTGTTAGATTGTCCCATCAATACGTAACAGACATTTACTTCAAACAGTAAATAAAATGCAATACTTTGTTAAATATTAGCAGTCAGTACTTTTTGATAAAAACTTCTTGATTCTCGGTGTTCATCATTAGTGAAAGTTATCTCCTCCCATCGATCCAAAATTATATCAGTCAGCAAAGAAGGAGGACATTTCACCTCTAGACTATTTGCCCGTGTATCAGTGATCCATTAGTAGAATCCTCACCAGCTGTGTAGGAAGTCTGGGTTCAATTCCAGACGCAGACGCACTCCTAAACCTCGTCTAGTTGGTATTACGGTTGGAAAATAATAAAGTTTGGGTATGAGGCTATTAACCTTACCCTGTCATAACAATACTACCACTAATGAAATTTTAATGCCTGGAGCCTTTTGTTCCACTCAAGGAATGAAAAATGCTTCTTTTACTATAAGGGAACATTGGAAAGCGTTTGGTATATAGGATAGACATATGTTGACAACGAAGACTCATTATTTTTTTTAATCCTTTAACGTTCCCAAGTAGAACATAGGGCTTCAAGATAGAGGCTTCAAGTTTCTGTAGCATTTATGTTTATTTGTACAGGATGAGGTTGTTAGCCTCATGCCCAATCTTCCCTCTCTACCAGTCTTATCACTGGCTGAGGTAAAAGGGTGCATCGACCGGGGACCGAACCCCGAACGGGTACTCTACCTCTGTGCCAGCGACGCCCCCAACAAAGAGTTACACTGGTTAATTATTATTATTATTATATCCTTTAATTCCTAGAGGGACATAAGGCTTCAGCTGCGCACCTCCATTGCCTTCTGTTTTCTTCCAACTTTTTCACTCCACTCCAAGTCTGCCCACATGCTTTCATCTCCTCACATGACGTCCTCCAAGTCACCCTCACACTGACGACCAACTCGCCACCCGCTTCCCTTTCGGCCTGGTTCCACTCGAGCAATGGCTTGTCTAGTGATGTCACTTGATGGTTTCCTCAGTGTATGGCCAATCCAATCCATCTCCATTTCTTCCTGCATATTTGTTTCACAATCGGTTGTTCCTGTTGGGTTGGTTTGCTCATTGCCAGAGATCCCTGTTGCTGATCTTTTCTAGCTGGCCATCTGATCTTGAGTATTGAGCGAAGACAACTGTTAATGAAGGTCTGAAGTTTGTTGGAGATGCTCTTTATGACGCGCTGACCAAGTCTCTGATGCGTATAGTCACACTGACTGACTTCACAATGGAGTTGAAAATCCGGATCATATTTTTGATTCTGAGTGATGTTGACCTCCACACAGACTTAAGGGTAATGAAAGCCTGTCTTGCTTTTCCGATTCTGGCTTTGATATCCTCATCAGTTCCGCTGGCCTGTAGTTGAAACTATGCTTCCCAGTTGGGTAGGTGAAGGAGGTTGTTTCTTTCAGGTTCCTCCTATTTATGCTGGCTGATTGTTGTCTGTTGTTGTTGTTGGCCAGGAATCTCCATCCCCTCTATTTTATCTATGTTCACCTGAAGTCCTATCTTCTCTGGATGCTTCTTCTATCGCCAACTTGTTGCTTTTCACTTGAATATCTTCTAGTTTGTGGGAAATCAGACATATATCATCGTCGGCGAAGTCCAGATCCTCAAAGTTCTATTTTTGTGTGAGTCCATTTTATGCCTGTTCCCTCGTTGGTTGCCGTTGTCTGTCGCATTATCTGGTTTACTGCAATCAGGAAGATCATTGGCGATAGTAGACAGCCTTGTTTTACTCCTGTCCTTACTTCGAAGGATTCCGTAAGTTTCCCGTTGTGGATTAATTGGCAAGCAGCATTGTCGTATAACTGTTGGATGAGATGTATAATTGTCGATGGGACTCCGTAGTGACTATTTTATTAAGTCATAATGCACTACCGAGTGTTGTATTAAGGTGATACGTTTTGTATAGAACTGTGTTTTACTACCGTGCTTAAGGTTTGCTATTATACTATTGTTAAACTCACTGCTTGATTTGTATTCTCTTACCATATCTACCTGGGAAGTAGTTTTTTAGAAGTAAAAATTAGGATTTCATCTTTTTCGGTGTCCATGAGAAAAGTCTATCCGAAACCTTAAAGAAATAGTTTCTCAATACAAGAGAAACTACTCACACTTCCTTTATTGAAAAACATGATAAGTATTGATTACAAAGATAAGTATAATGTTTCATTATAACATTATATCATATATTTGTCTGCTTTACAAACATGATGCATTATGGAGAAATTTTATCACTTGTGTTATCAAACTTAATATTTCAGCTTATTGGTTTCTTATCGTTGAACAATTTTAGTTGATATAGAATTCTACTGGTAAAGTGTTAGGAGAAGACATTAAATCAGTTCATGAAATCTCTGACAGTTGGTTTGAGCCATATAAGATGGTGTAGAGCGCCTAACTGGGGACCTTGAGACGCTAAGAACCAATGGCTGAAAACTGTTCTCAGTATCACAGATGGATTCACTTTGAGTGACCTCCTAGATTAATTAAATTCTTGTTATTCTCTGCATGATTGAATTTTCTTCCGTGCACTTTTATTCATGATAATTTCCTTATAATTGCTTTTGTCTACCTTTATATGTGCTTTTATGAAGTGTCACAAAATGAACAGCTGCTCTGTTATCTAGAATTCTACGTTGAAGGTTCAGTCAGTCACCTTATTTTGACAAGAATAGAACACAAACTTTTCTCATACTGATTTCTCTAGCTAGCTAAAATTATTTCATGTCGATCAGCTTGACTTTAGCTTAATAAAGAGATGCTACTTACTTTGACAGTCAAATGCAACACTTTTGATAGATGAATTATGACTATGTTGTCTTGATGTATTATAAGAATAGAAAATATTATTGTTGTTATTATTATTGTTATTATCGTTTGTTAAATCGGTTAGGGTGAATTTTGATTTCATTGCTGAATGAGATCGTATACCTCTTGACGGTAGAAAACCATTAGTTATATTAATTTTTAAAGGTGTATTAGATGAATTAGTTGTCTTGTTAGATGATGTATTTCTAATCGGTTGATAAGTCTTTACACCTATGCATATCGAATCATTGCAATTTTGATTTGATGTCAGAAGAGTGGAGGTTGGAAAGGTGTATTTATTACCATCACTGGTTAGTAGTAAATTTTGACTCATTTGACCAGTGATTTGATGTATTTGTGAAGAAGTATTTGTATGTGCACCTGAGTTGGAGAAATTTTCTGATTGTATACGATAAGATTGTTGATGTTTTTGAAGTTTTGTTTGTATTTGAGATTGATGAGATGGTAGTGGAGCGAAAACAGGATTAGTGCATAATAATGGCTGATCTGAAGGCGTGAAATGATTTCTGTCTGTTGGTTGTATAGAAAAGTTTTCAGTATTATGACCGGTAGATGGTTTATTTTCAGTACTCTGGGCACCGAATATTTTTGGATGATCGCCTGAAGTAGAAGTTTGGTACACGTCGAGTGAAGTGTCCAATTTTATCTAAAGATTGATAATAATAACAATTTTCAGAAAAAATAAGATGTAAGCATGATCAAAATGTGTATGAAATGATGGCAGAAGTTCGTAACTCATGTGAATGTTGTTGGTGACATCAATTTCGCTCCGATAAATTATACATAAACAAAACTTTTATGGTTTGTAATTATGTAGAGTAAGAATCCTCTAGAGGAATCCTCTGCAGTCAAACTGTCCAGCTCAAGAGTACAACAACACACAGCAAATGATTTCATGCTGTTCTCATAATAAAGCTACAGTGCATGACAACTATAAAGAATATATATATATATATATATATATATATATATATATATACTAGTGGTTTGTTGATATAAGTTGTTGAATGCCACCCACATCAACCAGTAGTGCTTGCTTGTTTGAGTCCGAGTCATGTTTTGACTACTGGAAATTAAATATGCATATAGTGACAGAATGCTCATCAGTCACTCACGCGGTCCGACTTCGGCTAATAGTCGACGCGCCCCCTAAGCATTATCCAGTTTGCTAGCCGGTTGTAAGGTATAAAGAGAGGGGAGATTCGACGTGAGGCTAGCGACCTCAACTCCTAAAAATATAACACAACCTCTTCTGAAACGTAAACCCTGGAAACTTAGTGTTTTGTTATGAAATCAAGGAATAAAAGCGCATAGCAGAAAACTAGTAACTACATTTTGAGTTTTATGATGGTTATTAAAATATAGTCTGGCTCTTGATACTGCTAACGGGAAATAACTTGAAAAGCAATGAGGTTAAATAATCACTTTATATTGTCGTCAAAATTATCGCTAATTTATATTATAACATTTCATAAAACTAGATACACCAAGAGTAGATAAAAATAATAGTAGTATATACCTGAGCAGAATTTTCGTGTTGTTGATTTCTAATCCAAAATCCTTGCCTTCGTAATAATTGTGTACGGTTTTTCCATGCTGCTGTTGGCTTTAAAACATTCAAAACTCTCTCCTTTTTGTCATCTAATAAAAAGTTATTAGTAAACTGTATGATAGAAGATGGAAACATATAATTAAATTAATTATTTAAATAAACTGATTTGCCCAGTCAACTTGAAGAATATACACGTATATACCTATGTCTATAGAGGAGTTAAGTAATAGTTATGGTGTAGTGTGCATGCAACTTACAAGTAAGTAAAGTAGCATATCAAGTAATGTTTCCAGAGGAACAATGATTATATATATATATATATATGCTCTAGATGACTTTGAAGTTTATTTGGGGTGTAACTTGGTGTCCGAAATCCTTCAGATGTTCTAAGATAGAGCTGCGAGGTCATTGTTTTTCTCCTTTGTATAACCATGCTGGTAAGTATTCGGTGATACGTTTGGAAACCGAAAGCTGGGTACGGCCGAGATACCTGGTTCCACACGAGCAGGTGAATTGGTAGATACACACTGATGGTGGTTGCAGTGGTAGCGTTCAACGAAGGAGTCACTCAGTGTTTAAAAAGTATTCAACGAATTTAGTAAAAAAAAAATCCGTGTTTAGAAAGGTAGCACAGCGTTTTAAAACCTTAAATGAATATAACTAATCGTCCACTCAATGTGATCGAAGGTATAGCAGCAGTTAAACTGATTATGTACGAGCTCATTTATTTTTTATTTTTTTGATTTACAGCTTGATTCCACACTGTATTTTCGGTACAAGTATGGAATTTTCAGCATGGATATCGGTAGCCCAAATTTTGCAGGCCGACCATAGATATCAGGTATGCGCCGGCGTGGGCTCGAACCCCGGACCATGTGCATAGTCGGCGAGAGTCCTAACCACTGTGCCACCGACGCACTTTAGAATTAATGTAAAACTAAACCTGCCTAAGCTGGTTGGATGAGATCACTTCACTTACGTAATACATTGGATTGCAATCTGTACCTTCAGATAATTTACATCACAGGAATTAATAAAAGACTGCAGTTGAACAAGGGACTATTAGAATTCAAGATATATGTGAGTGAGTAAAACATTCGATTAGTTATATATTTGTCATCAAAACTACCAAAATCCAAAACCAAAATGTTTCTGAATAACAGGATACAGTCATAACGCTTGTGAAATCAGTTGTGTAAAATGCAAGAAAATATGAAATACTCTACCAAAATAATAAAAACACTAAAACTAAACGAAGTATGTAAAGTGAACCAGTGATCAGAGATTGAATAAAAATTAGTAGTGCATGGGAAATGGATGAAAACGATCATATATCTATGAATATTAAGGAGAAATATTTCATTTCAAGAAGAATTAATCAGAGTTTACAAAATATTCAAGATTACATTGATTAATTCACCTGCATCCACTACAAATTAACCCAATAGAATGGTACTGAAGTGTACTTTTAGAGAGAGAGAGAAAAGTGCTCACTTATGGTCTGATTAAGCAGAACACGAATTAAACCTTAGAAAATCAGGTTATTTCACCTTATATAGAATGAATGAATCACAAATCTGGATCGATATAGTTTTTTTTCACATTTAATTGGACAGTAAATCAATCACAGAAACAATATTATTGAGAATGCTTTAAATGAACAAAGACGCTTGTTTGTGGAAGTGTATTTTTCTAGTAAATATAAGCACCAGTAGCTAATCAGATTTCATTTTGATAGTAGAAATATTTTACACTTGAATATTGAAAGACATGTAAACTTAGTATTGGTGCTGTAGTTCAAATGAACACCTTTTATATTTGGGGTTTGAACAGATTTTTGGTTAATTTCAGTATAGATTTTATCCTTTTACTGGACCTTAACCTATAGCGGAATAACTGTCTGGAAAATCCCTCCCGAACGACCTACTTGCAATATTGATACTTATCTGGGTATTTCAAGCTAATTTTATAGTTATAATCCTCTTTTCTCCCATGCCGGATATCATTGTCTTAACGTCTGCATATCACCTATTCGTATCTAATCCCTAATTTTAATGGTTCGCTTTGTGGTTGTTGATAATGTCTTGTTGTGATTTTGTTTGAATGAATTCAAGGTTATGGTGTGGCAATTTTAATCTTAGACTGTCAGCGGGAAATTTTTGACGTGTTTTTACATTTTGCTGACACTGTTTTGATCCTACATTGTTGGGAATGTTCTACTTAATTATAAGATACTTCTTATGGTTGATTTTGGTTAACTAATTTTGTTGTACAGTACTCATTTTCTATGTGAAAAGTTTTCGATTTGTAATTTTGAGTTTTTGATACGTCATCAGTATTCAATAGCACTGCAGATTTTATCGTAAATATCTGTCGTTTTGTTGTCCACTGGACATTTTTGGATTGTGAGTAACTTAGGAAGTTTTGTCTGGCTATATAGTAGTATACACCGAGTGGTTTCCTGCGTTAAGACCACAATACATAGGTTTGGGTCGCCACACAAATTAGTGGCTAAATGGTTATCGTACTCATCTTATAGTATGAAAGTCCCTGTTCTATCTCTGGTGAGTTCGTGGTTGCTCATCGCAAACAAGTCTCACAGGAAGATGAAATAACTGTCCAATGTTCCATGATTTTCAGTTATGCTCTAACTTATATGAGTTCGTGGAGAAAACTATCTCAAGTAAATGCATTTATCTGAATACGTGTTTACAGGCGAGCATTGCTTAAAATACTACATACATTGTTTTGTTAAGTACTTCAACAATTTTTACAGATGTTAATATTTAACGATATTCTGTGAATCATTACTATCTTTTCAATTGTGAATATAAAAAAACTTTGTCCACTTGTGAAACAATGATCATAGATACTGAAACAGTCCAGTATAATGAAAAATTCCTTAGTTATGTTTTTAAGTCAGTTTTATTTTTCCTGTCGACTGACTGCATCGAAATGTTCGACCTCTGTTGATGTCTCAGGATTAATCTGAAGTGATTTGGTGGATGGCGATTAGCACTGAAATTCAGGATGAGCATTCCGCTTTATTTAGGACTTGTCAGCTGGGTATATCTGTAAACCCCGCTAAGTGATGGTTTTTTCACTGAGACCTGAACTCAGCAGTCATCGTTTCAAACTCCAAAGCGTCACTCCACTAGACCTCTTAGGTTACGAGAGACACCTCTTTTGCAACGGGTATCAGTTATCATTTGTATGAAGTCAACTCCAACTTTACTGTTGACCGATTGGACTGAAGCGTTCAGCTTCTACTGGCTTGTCGGCTCCTATTATGGATGCTTCATTGATGTCTGATGATTAACTAAGATAAACTAGTTTGATGAGTATTTCGAGTTTCGGTGAAAAGACTACCACATTCTGGAGGTTGCAGATAGATTCGGCTGACGAGTCCTAAATAGGACTGAATCCTCATACTAGATTCCACTGATAATCACCACTCAACAAATTACATTGTCAGTTTGATTGATTAGATGTAATCAACACCTGCGGAGTATTGATTACTGCTCAGTGACTGGGCAATTCAAATATGGGAATTATATACTGAAGAAATGTCAAATGACTATAGGTTTAGCAGATGTGTGTGTATGGCTAATTCCTGGACAGTTCTGTTTACGTCCACTTCTAGAGGCTAACGCTGAATTGCTTTACAAAATAGTATAACTTATTTAGAAGAATATACATTTTTTAAGAAAACATACTTATATCTTGCTGAGGTTGGTGAATTTTACTCTGACTACCTTCATGATTATTGAAAGCTGTAAACTTTTTATTCATCTGATTGCTTGAATTTTCAGGATACATTTGTGCACATTGTGTAAATACTTCATTCAACATTGAAATTAAACCAATTTTATGCATTAGACTTTCACGCTTTTTTAATTCATTCTTCCGTTCATTTTCTTCATGATCAAATATAGGCTGAGGTAATTTAGTATCAATGAAATAAACATCTTTATTATCTAATAGAGTATTAAGCAATATATGATTATCTTCATTGCCTATTGGCATATTTATACATTCAGTGGTAGGATATTTGAGCTCTTCTTCCTCTACTTTATCCATTTGTTGGCTGTACAATTCCGAGTTTCGTATATCTCCTTTACTAGTTACAAATTGATCTTGATTGATATGGATCAACTGGTGATTAGGGTCATTAATTACATCATGTTTGTGACCTGATTTGATTCCCCTTGACAGTGAGGCATTTGTTTTAATTTTCAATCGTTTAGGCGCTGGACTTTCAGATTGACTTGCTTTATGCTTATTTGTAATTATGTCTAGTTTTTCTTGTTTCATGCGTATTTCTTCTCTGAGTTGTCTACAGGGAAATAAAGTGTAAGATGGAGAGGTATATGAATGTGAAGAAGACTAATATATTCAGAAAATAATCAATGTTGAATAAGAAATGAATATGAAACAGCTGTCCCCAGTACAGTATTCCCTGGTTTTCAATGATTCTCTAACCGATAATAATCCGTGGTTAAACTTGACAAAGCAAATCTAATCCTTACAAGCTAACCCTTGAGAATATGTTTAAGCAATAGTCTTTTAATTAAAAGTTATCGAATTCGTAGTGAACATGTCATACAATGTTAACAATAAGACAGGAAACTTTCAGCACTCTAAAGGAAATAAAGTTTCAGTAGTTATGTAGGACTACCACCCAACTTTTCATTAAAAAAGATCAATACTTATTAAGAGTAGAGATGAACTTGTGATTGGCGCCATGGCCATCAGTAATTCTCACAATTGTATTTACTTTCGCACATTTGTCGACTTACAAAAATTAAGGGAAATTATATATATATATATATATATATATATATATATGTTAGGTGATTCAAAATAAGAAATTCAATGGAGACGTTGAAGTGAAGACCATTGGGTAATACCACGTGCCAGTTCCTCGACTGGAACTTCAATGGGAGACTAAGATTTGGTTGTCCGAGGGTGACGTGGAAGTGATTGTGTGAAGAAGAGAGGAACGCTTATTAACAGTAGTGAGGTCAGTCAAAGAGGATTGCAGAGATAGGAATAATATAATAATGGGGATATATATATATATATTACTACTTGTGAAGTCGATCATCCCCTAAATAGTCTAAAATCTAATAAAGAACAAAATTTCATTGAAAATTTCTTAGAAGAAGCGAAGGATTAAACACTGAAGGTGATAAATAGTTGTCATACATTTTTATACGACTAAATATTTACATTTTTCTTACAATTGATCTATCAAATTTACAATAGTAAATTTCATCAATATGACTGTTTTCTTATATTGATAGAAGTTAGAACTATGTGTATAATCTGTCTACACTTCAACTAATCTCCACTTAATCTCTAATAATGACAAAGAAGGGCAACTTAGGCCTGTGCAAGAACTGGTGCGGAATAATGCTCTTGTCCACGCCAAGAAAAATACTAAGTTGCATCATCCTGGAGAAAATAAAGGATGCGCTGGATACAGAACTCCACCCTATTGGAACAAGCTGGATTCAGGGGAGGCAAATCATGTGCTGATCAAATTGCAAATATGCGCATCGTCATCACAGAACAAAGCATAGAATGGTAGTCAAACCTCGCTTCACATCAACGTCATCGACTTCAGAAAGGCCTTCAACAGACAGTGTTGACCGAGAAGTAATTGGGAAACTACCTCGACACTGAGGCGCGCAGTTCCAAAATCTTTATCAACCTCATTAAACAGCTGGCTATATGACATCGCTACGTGTCAGGTGATCCACAGTGGAAATCCAAGCGAGACGTTCAAAATTAATACAAGGTTGGCTGCCTATTTTCACCGATGATACTGTCAATTGTGATAGACTGGATATTGCGCCAGACTGTATATTAGGAGCTAGGAGACAGGAATATGCTGGACTATCGATAAGAAGACTTTAGAATACCTGGATTTCGTAGATGATATGTGTCTAGTGTCACAAAAACTCGAAAACTTGTAGGCGAAAACCAACAAACTGGCTGAAGAGGTGGCGAAAACAGGACTACAGGTGAACACAACGAAGACGGAGGTAATGAAGATAAACAACGAATCGCAATAACAACAACAACCAGCAACAATCACTGTCAACGGGAGAGATCAAACAGAGGTTACTTCCTTCACTTATCTGAGAAGCATCATGTCAACTACAGGAGGAACAGACGGAGATGTCAAATTCAGAATTGGAAAGGCAAGATGCACCTTCATCAATCTGAAACCAGTTCAGAAATCTTCTGCACTCAACATAAGGAATGAGATTCGGTTTTTCAACACCAATGTCAAGTTGGTTCTTCTATACGGGTCAGAAACTTGGCGTGCGCGTCACGAAAAGGATTTCGAACAGGTCGCAGCCTTTTACTAACAGCTGCATTTACTGGCTGGCTCCATACTGAAGACCAAATGGCCAGAGTGAATAAGTAACAAGAAACTGGGGAAACAAACCAACCAGGAGCCGATTGCCCAAAATATATGTAGGAGAAAGTGGAGACGGACATGGAATACATTGAGAAGGCCACGGAATGACATCGCAGGCCAGGCCCTCAGGTGGAATCCAAATGGGAAGTGACGAGTGGGTCGTCGAGGCGATGGTGACATGGAGGAGATCCTATGGGGAAGAGATGAGAGATTTTGGTCAGCCGTGAAGCCGGCTGAAGAGGACAGCAGAAAATAGAACAAAGTGGAGATGTGTTGTTGAAGCCGTATGTTCCCCTCGGAACGCAAGGGAATAATAATAAATCGTTTAACAACTACTGTCATAATTCGTGTGAATCTTTTAATGGATTATTGGACAGGTGTTGAACTCGTAGAAATCAGCTGAATATTCTGAATAATGACTTATTGTGATTAAATTAGTCTTGAGACAGAGAGATAATAATATCTTGGATAAATGGTAAGGCGTGTAATTGCACCACCTGCTTTTTCCTGACCTCATTGGCCTCTTAGATTGGTGTTATTTCTTCTTGTGACCACACCTAACTTTTGTCCAGAAATGCAGGCGAGCAAGAATAATAACATGGAGGAATATGCAAATTTAGTCTCTCTTTCTTTATCAAAAAATATGAGAATATAGTGGATCTGGAAGGCTATAAAGAGTGAGAACGGCTTTGAGTAATATTGTCAATAGTTTCAAGCCATTGGTTCTTGGAATCCAGTGGACTCGAATCAGGAAGTCTATACTGCCCCACATAGCTCAAACCAACTGTGAAAGACTCCATAGATCGATCACGTGTTTTAGTTCAGTTACCTCTAATGCTTTCCCAGCCTACTGCTATGTTAGATAACACTGCTCCTCAAGGAGGGCTGTTTCTCGACATGCGTGACATATGTCCTAGTCACCTCAATCGATTCACTATCACAACTTGATCGACTAACTTGCTTTCCTTACCTGACACTGTAGACATGACTTAATACGGGAGATAAAACGCTTCCCTCCTATCATTACTACCATTCCATGGTTATTAAATTATGCCTTGTTAGTAAAACTCACCTTGCACATTCACTTCTCACTTTGTATGTTACTGTCTCTTGATAAAATGTTGCAGTTGGATTAAGAAATGGTGTATACTTCTCCATATCAGATGATGGATAAATTAGACGAAAATTACCCATGTGAGAATTTTCATATTTTTCACTCAGTGCTTGATATCTTTCAATCTCCTTTTCGATTGAATGTCTGTAAAGGCCAAACAAAAAGTTATTAGCTTAAACGGCATTATTTCTGTTTTTTGCAGTTTAGTTATCATTAAATTTGGATGTCACTTGTTGGACGTGCTTTATTTTTAGAAAAAAACAGAGGTGAATTTTGTCTAACATTAACGGATTGGCTTGACCTTAGAGTAAGAAATGTTTGCAAACTTGAAAAGTTAAATTATAGCAAAGAATACATCAAGGTGAATTTTCTACGCCAACCTGTACTTGCAATTTTCTCCAGGTCTTTGACTAATTTTGACTTACACACTAGTAATATTTAGAACAACACATTTAAGCGAGCAATATTGTGGTTTCAATTAGATCTCATCAGGCTTAACTCTAATATATATAAGTTTACAAATAAAAATTCAAATATAAACCAATCATGGTGTTTTGTCTATAGGATAATACGATGGTGAATATAAATTGTGCAGTTAGTCATAATACTGGTAATGATAATATTAATAATAGTAGTAATAATAATAATAATAATAATGGTCTTATCAATAATAAGGATGAAAAAATGAGGCAATCTGTGATAACACGAGTAATGAAAAACAGTATGATTAAACAAACAATTGTTCAGGTGGAAGTAGTCGATAAAGGCTAGTAAAAACAAATGAACCGATTACGTAATGTTAGATTGTAGGGGAAGGAAATGAAACACGTTTATAATGAATATAACATAAGATTAAGGGATGATAAGAAAGGGGTTGGAAATATAAATAAGGGGTGGTGTAGAAATCTTTCGTTGGTTATGTCTTATTAGGCCGCGGGAGGGTTAATGGCTGCACGAACTTCTTTTGAATGCATAGTTTAGGTTTAATAGTTCGAATGCCTATCGCCTCAGCTGTGTGCAGTAGACGAATACGAAGTCTATTTGAAAGATTCGGAGGGATACGATGAATTACTTTGAAGGCTTTTGTTTTATCGACTACATGACCACTATCAATTAGATGTGACAGAATTGAGCTACGGATTGTTTTTGTCTGTCCTTTGCCGAACCACTATGGGAGATGTTCACTAACACGTTGGCTAAGCTGTCTAGTAGTACGCCCAATATAACTAGTAATAAGTAAAAGGTTCACTTATAATTTTCGAATCTAACTCTGTTTCTTAGAATATTACTGATAGGATCCCACATAAAATATTATATCATCATGCTTTAAATACACCTCTGCTGCAACACTGGCGTCAATAGCATCGTCCAGTCTTCTTGGGAAAGTTTAGTTCCACAAGTCTAGTCAGATATCTTCGACTTTAAAGCCGAGTGACAGACGAGTTTTTCCTCCTAGACATCCACTTCGTTATCAGCCTCAATCCTATGGATAAGGTGAACGCTTCGTCAATGACTCTAAGTGTGCTTTAAGGAAAGCGAATGAGGAGGGAGCAATGAGAGATATCTTGGACAGATATTTGCTGCCTTATCAAACAGCAACCAATCAAATAAATTATCTCAGGCAAGCATTATTTTTGGTCGAAAAATCAAAACCTTTTCAAATAGATCCAAAAAGCAAGTCCTACACTTTTTAACAGGGAGAGGTGATAAGATCCCGCGTAAAATAGTATATCGTCATCTCTCACGCATGTTGTGATTGATTATGCGATCAATTATTTAAAACGCCGTTAGTCGTCTTTATTGTTGTAAAAATATATAAATACCATGTGTTGTTTTCCTAATGGTTGTTGTTGGGATTACAGTATACAGTCACAGGCCAGCTTTTCTCTTTTGATATTTGCGTGACTCAGTGAATCGGAAGGTACCACAGGCAAATAGGCATATTAAACAGGCTCAGACAGAACAAAGTGACTACGGTTCTCATCCAGTTCAGTGCAGTTATAACAAATTGGCGACGGGCTTATTTCAATTCACTGAAGTTATAACAATTATTCTAAGCAATAATGTTTCTTACATCTGATAAATCCGATTGCCAATCAGTGAAACGACCGTCAGTTGTTTAGATCACTTCGGTCAGGTTGGCATGCTCTACTTTTTGACGGGAATAGTTTCCAACTACTCCTATCAATCAAACAGTAGTATATAATATCACGCTGTTTCACTTGCTTTCTTGATCGGGACTTTCGGTATCAAGTAAATTATCGTATACATTTTTGAGGCACTTATGAATGATTTTATTCTGTAGATTTGTCACATCGTAATTTATAAAGGCCGCAGTAGTTTATCCAGATGGTCAGAAAGAATAAGCAAAAAAAACGAACTCTGTTAGGCAGCGTACCAACCAACATAACATGTTGAAGGAAATAAAGATGGATTAGACAAACGTGAATGAAATCTTCAAATGACATCCCACCTCGGGTCCCCTAAGTAGAATCCGAATGAGAAACACTAAGTCATTTATCTGAGAATAACATCAAGGAGATGGTGTGATAAAAGGGGATGAAATCTTGAGAATTCTTATGAAGCTGGCTTAAAATAGACCACAGAGAACAGAGTATAACTGAGATATGCTGCTGAAGTCCTATATTCCACTTGGAATCCACGGAACAAGTAATAATAAATTTGTTGAGAAAGAGTAACACAATTAATTGTGCAAACAGAATTTTGACTAACCTATGTTCTTTATCTCCATTCTTATGTAACAAACGATTTCGAATACGCTTTCTTTCTTCATCGCAACACTTTTTCTTACTAATTGCTGTAAAATGTGCAAGTTGTACAGCATCCCATAGCACAGCCTCTTTAATTTCTTTGTCTAATTTACTGTCTGTTGTGAAACTAGGTGAATGATTCACCTACAATGGTATAAAAAGAGAAAACAAAGTGGAAAAGTGAAGCAATCTAAATTCTCTAAGTACCTATGACATTAGTTGCAACCTTCCGTCCAAACAGACTACCCATTACAGTCCTATAGGAGGTCAGTTGCGAATCCGAATAGCTCAGTGGTAATGCTTTTGATTACAGCACTGAGTAAAGCAGGATCAAATCTCAAAAGGGACATGAATTCCTTCTAGCTTGCAGATATGTCTGCCTTGCTGACTAATGAGTACCAACCAGCACAAAAGCGCTGCCTCCTGCCGATTGCCTCCAACCACCTAATACTAATATTTTACAGTGCACCGTGATGGCGAGCAACCTAGAATGGTGGCCACATTGCAGACTTAACTGATAGAATTCAGTCTGCACTAAACAGAAGACTAGACTCATGATATTAGTTGCCATCCGGTGTCCAATCATAGAATTCATTATGTTTGTTTAAGAGAAATAGTAAATGAACTAGACAATTGAGAAACATGGGATACTGTAGCTACATTTACTGACACACTATCTACGACAAGGTTAATTCAAGGATAAAAGAGTGGCTTAGTTAAAAGTCGATATAATGTTGTCTTAAAGTGTATTTCTCAAACTATTTATGATTTTTAGATACAGATACAATGAGTCGGTTGAGAAAAAGACTGTTTCTTACTGAACTAAAGTCATTTAGAGTACCCTCATGTCACTGGATGGGATAATATAAGATATATGAATACTTATCGTAGTTACTTTTTATTTATGCATGCATACGTAAATGTGTGTACCTACATATCAGTTAATCTAGATCACTCATCCATTTATAACCTCCTTAAAAAGCAGTCTACTCATCCATTTCATACCTTGCCTATGAACAGTTGATTTTCACTGAATCAGATTTAAACTCTTTCCTGAAGAGGTAAGCTTCAAAGATTTCAGCCCAATAAATTATTATATTATCATTATTGTTTCCTTTAGTTCCTAGAGGGATATAGGCTTTAGCCTTACGTCTCCATGGCGTCCGGTTCTTTGCCAAAGTTTTCACCTGGCTCTATGTGTGCCCACATGCTTTCATCTCCTCTTCACATCACCTCCTCCACGTCGTCCTTGGGCGACCAACTCGCCGCCTGCGTTTCGGGTTTCACTCGAGGGCTTGTCTAGTCACGTCACTTGATGGTTTCCTCAGAGTATGGCCAATCAATCTCCATTTCTTCCTGCCTATTTGTTTCACAATCGGTTGTTCCTGTTGGGTTGGTTTGCTCATTGCCAGAGATCCCTGTTGCTGATCTTTTCTGGCTGGCCATCTGATCTTGGGTAGTATTGAGCGAAGACAGCTGCTGATGAAGGTCTGTAGTTTGTTCGAAGTGCTCTTCATCACGCACCAAGTCTCTGATCCGTATAATAGCACTAACTTCACATTGGAGTTGAGTACTTTTGACCTCCACACAGAATTGAGAGTAATGAAAGCTTGCCTTATTTTCCCGATCCTCGTTGCTTTGATATCCTCATCAGTTCCGCCTGTAGTTGAAGCAATGCTTCCCAGGTAGGTGGATAAAGGAGGTTGCTTCTCTCAGTTTCCTCCCATTTATTCAGCTCAATAAAAGGACCAGTCAGTATGGTTCATAAGATATAGTGAATTACATTTCTGTTACCTGTAAGATCGGTGTGTATCTAACACCATCTAGGAGAAGGGAGTGGTGAAAACTTAAGACTAGTGAAGTGTATGCCAGAAGAATTACTAAATATTCTAGTGATAAACTGTTAATCATATCCAAAGTGAAGAAACTATCTAAGGAGATTTAAAATGATTATCACTTTCATATCCTGTATGATTCGAATGTCACCAAAGTAGTTTAATAATTCTGAAACCACTTTACACAGAAGTCTGTTTGGTTGTTTTGACAAACATTTGAATTTACAGTTTCTTCTAAAGTATGAAGCAGATTATCGAGAATAATTAGAAGAAAGAAATATTCTTCGTTGGATCGCTAAATTCCAAATTCTCCACACACAAACTCTTATTCTTCAAAACAATGTTGAACTTTTAGCAGCATCTCTGTGTATATATCAGTTCACCTAATATGTATTTCCCCATATTTTGTCACCAACTAGTATTAATAATTGATGTTTATTTGCTTTTTTCATGACTTTTTGGGACACTGTTTTACTGTACAACTCTGCTGAGAAGTTACAGTTTTCTATTGCAGTATAAGTCAAATATTTATTATTTTTCTTAAAAATAAATCGCCAAGGTTTTAAAAATATTCGACAAACTTTGTGAAAAAAGTCCTCTAGTCTAGGATGACGAACATAACATATTATTGTTTGCCCTCAAGGCTGGTTGAACAGGAGTCAGTAAATACTGTGAGTTTAAAACAGCTCCCATTTCATTATCTAGTTCACTGATATAACGCCTACCAGCAATCAATGCACGTGGCTCAGATTTCGATCTCTTGCCAATGCACTCATAAACCCCCTAAGCCCAGCAAAGAGGCGAACATGTGCGTGAGGCTAGCGATACCACACGGTAGGCAGAAAACACCACTTAGACATTTAGAAAACAGAAAGATTGAGGCTGAGGCGATTGGCATTCATCTAGAGAAGCCAAGTCTATGTGTACAGAAAAAATTTGTACAGCCACTTTCCCTATCGTGGCCATCGTCACAAGAATGGAGAAAACACCACTGTTAATGAGACTTCAAAGCTTAAGCTTGAAGCTCTATGTTCAACATGAAGCGCAGAAGGATAAAATGCAAAAAAGGTAAGTGAAATGCATTCCTGAATTGTCATGCTAGTAAGATATACTTTGATAAAAAAAATTAAATCACGTGCAATATATTTAATCAAAGTCATATTAAACTTATTTATCCATCTGAGTTCGACTTACTTCTAGTACATACGGCTTCAGTCTATGACTGAACATTATATCAAAACCAAGAATTTCAAAACAAGCTGAAGTTTGTATATGATTTGGAAAGCATGTTCTATAATTATGTTTAATTATAGCATAACCAGATAGTACTGTCTTAATGATTACATCATCTATATCATCCCAAATCTGAAAAGAAATAAATGAAACGGTATATATATATATATATGGAAAATATATTATAAGTGGTGCGGAGCAACACATCAGTACTGACTAAAGATTCATTAAACATTCTTTTAACACAATAAGATAGAACATTCAAAGCTGAAGAATAACACTGTCAAATATTTACAATCGAGGTCGGTTCGTCTGACTACTGTTTTCAGTATTTTTTACAATGCTGAAATAATCCTAATGGAATCATTTATAACTTTTCAGGTTGCTAGGTGTTTTCTGATCTTGATCACTTATAAATCTTGCACACCTGTAACTTGAAGAAATTTTTCGCTTACACATGCTGTTGCATATATTTTGAAGTATGAAGTGTCATCTAGCTATTCATTAGCCTTTGAATGAAATGCTTTATTTTTTCTGATAAAGACACCTGAAAACTAACTTTAGAAGCCATATATAGTTACCTGTTTATTAGGCTGACGGATATAATTGCTGCTCACGGTTCTGTTGTGGATCAAGTGGTTGGGCGGTCAATGAGCTTTGCGTCGTAACCTGAGGACCCCGGGCTTGATCCCCGATGGGGTCGTCGTGGCGCACCGATGAGGAGTTCCAATCTAGAACGAAGTGGAAGATCCAGCTGTGAAAATTCTGGTTCATCGGCTTAGGCAATTCATTTTTAAACGATGCGTTACGAGTTCGAGTCCGGCTCCACCTACTTTAACCTGGGTACATAAACACTATTATCAACCTCCACATGGTATATGAAAAATCTTTTCTGGGCAACAGAGTTGAAAAACAAGCTTCGATTTGTTTTAAATTATTAAGGAATAACATATTATATTTTGCGATGACAATGATGTTATATCTAGATTTTCATTTTTATGATTTTTGAAAATAGCGAAAAATGCTTGTTACTCAGAATGTGAATGATTATATTAAGTTAATCTTTTAAAGCTAGAATTCTAACAAACAAATAAGAATACAGCCAAAAGAAAGGCCCAATGAACAATTAACCATGTCTTTTATTCGTCAGAGTACAAAAACCCATTAAAATCCACTTTATGCACTTTATATCTCTGTGTAGCACTTTCGAAAATAATTCTATGAATATTTATTGAAATTTTTTCGAAAAAAGAATGAAAGTTGTTTATGATTATTATTTTGTCTACAAAGATCAAACATTACAGGAGATCAACAGTTTATTACTTTTTGATTGGACATTAGTCAATAACTAGTGTAATGTTTTTCTGTGTCTAGTCCTATCTTAGGCGCAGACTGAATTCTATCAGTCAAGTTTGCAATGTGGCCACAGCATTCTAGGTGGCTTGCCATCATGGTACACTTTGAATTGTTGGCATTAGATGGTTAGAGGCAATAGGACACAGGAAGCCTACCAACGATATTTCGTACTAGTTGGCACACGCTAGTCTTCGAGGCGTATCTGCAATCTTGAAGGAGCTCATATCCATTCTGAGATTAGAACCCGTGTCACCCAGTGCTGCCTGCAGTCAGAGAGAGACGCTACCACTGAGCTATTCAGGCTTGCGATTGACCTCCTATCTGACTGTATTCGATATTTTTGATTGGACACAAGCCAGTAACTAGCGTTGTCTCAGAATCTCAGAAGGGAGATGAATTCCTTCAGGGTTGTAGTTACGTCTTGCTGACTGGTGAGAGCCTACTAGCACGAGACTTAGGTTTGGTAAGGCTTCCTGAGGATTGCCTCAAACCATCTAACACCAACAGTTTATTAATTTGCATTCACTGAAAAATCTCAAATGATATTAGGCTTGAAAAATGCTACTTTGTTTTCACATCTGTCACTGAATATATTTTGTATATTTGTTATTTTAGCGTACAAATGAACAAAACTATTTCTTAGACCTTTTTATTTAAATTGAAATCACTTCAATCCAGTCTGTGGGACAATTCAATTAACGAAAAGCAAGCAAACTAAGTAGTCATGATACAATACGTAGAGAAAAAAAGTGATTAGTGTTACTATCAATGTGAAGACCTGATTGGTGATCAGAGCAGCTGACATCTTGACAGAAAAAGGAGGTACTGAATTTCTGCTACTAGTTTAGTAAACTTTAATAAAATATTAAAATTTGGTTTCCGTTTCATTGATACAACTTCAGAAGAAAACTGTGACTAGTATTTTCAACTTATACTCACAGAACTGCTAACTGTATCTGGTTTTTAGGAATATCTATTTTATTGTTGCGTCACTGGTTCAGTGACGGAATGATATTCAGTCAAGTGGCAAGTGTGAGTTCGATTCTCGGATGATGCACTGCTAAATTTCACCGAGCTGAAAGTAAGCCCTAAGAAAAGTGAGCAAAGGCTGGGCATAATCTTAGCAACCCCATCTTGCAAAGACAACTTCCGAACTTGAAGCCGTACATTCCTTTCGGGACGCAAGGAATGAAAAAAGGTTTATCCCTAGTGATAAACCCAATGTCGACTAAAGTATATGTTATCATAATTATTATTGTATCCTTTAGTTCCTAGAGGAACATAAGGATTCAGCTGCGCACCTCCATTGCTTTCTGTTTTCTGACAACTTTTTCACCCCGCTCCAGGTCTGTCCACATGCTTTAATCTCCTCCTCGCATGACCTCCTCCAAGTCACCCTCACACTGACGACCAACTCTCCGCCTCCCTTTCGGGTTTCACTCGAGGGCTTGTCTAGTCATGTCACCTGATGGTTTTCTCAGAGTATGGCCAATCCATCTCCATTTCTTCCTGCCTATTTGTTTCACAATCGATTACTGCTGGGTTGGTTCGCTCACTGCCAGAGATCCATCACTGTTTCTGATCTTTTCTGGCCGGCCATCTGATCTTGAGTATTGAGCGAAGACAACTGTTAATGAAGGTCTGAAGTTTGTTGGAGATGCTCTTTATGACGCGCTGGCCAATTCTCTGATCCGCATAGTGAGTAGCACTGACTTCACATTGGAGTTTATTTTTGGTGCTGAGTGATGTTGACCTCCACACAGACTTAAGAGTAATGAAAGCTTGTCTTGCTTTTCCGATTCTGGCTTTGATATCCTCGTCAGTTCCGCCCGCCTGTAGTTGAAACGATGCTTCCCAGTTGGGTAGGTGAAGGAGGTTGTTTCTTTCCGGTTCCTCCCATTTATGCTGACTGTCGTCTGTTGTTGTTGTTACTGTTGGTGTTGACCAGGGATCTTCATCACCTCTGTTTTATCTATGTTCACTTGAAGTCCTATGTAATATTTTACTGTCCTTAATTTAAGCGCAATATACATATATATGCATATTTTATGACTCATTAGTAACTGATGGTGAAAGTGTATTAGTCAAATTCGGATTAGTACAGTACTGCTGATATAACGTGTGAAGTGTATTTCTGCGTCCAGTTGGATTCAGACCAGTGGCCTAGAAATTACTAGTCTGGTAGTATCTAATCTAATCAGTAAGATCCGACGGCTAACTAGGTCATGATTTCACTGCAGTCATCACAAGCTGTACTCAACTAGTACACAAATGAATGACACACAACTGTTACTTCATCATGTAAGTGGCTGTTTAGCTACATCTTCACCTTTCAGTTTCAATCATACTGAAATAGGAGATAGGAAGGTTATTAATTAGTTGTGAGATTATCTGTGATAAGCTTTGGTTAGTGTACTACCAAGAAAGTAATGAATAATGATTATAGATGAAATAAAACTCCGGGTACTAAATATATCATATACTCTATTGGCTATTTTATCAAGTAATAGGATCATAATCGAAGTGCCGACTATCATATAGCTGCTTTTTCTCCTTCTGTGTTTATTCAAATAAAGTGGCATAAATTTTAACATATAAATTTTAAACAGTAATACAGATAGTAAGCATTGAACACAAGATAATCATTGCATGTGCGTGTATACATGTATACCCATTGTAATACTTAGTGTTAAGTTGATAGTATGCAAAATTACTACCGACATACTTAGATACGTGTACAAATTCATATCTTCTGATTTGGACGAAAAAGTCAAGACTCAACAACACCATTACTAAAAGCCATTCAAAGTCTTAGATCAAAGTAAAAGTAAGCACAAACGAATTATTGTTTCGAAAATCCCTCCTAAGAAATCTGTTTACAATATTGTTGTTTATTGCGATATCTTTACCTAATTGTGCAGTTATTACCCTTTTTCAACGCTACATGTGTATCAGTGTTTAAACGTGTATATATCCTCCTTTGATTTAATCCTTATTATTAGTCTTTGTTTGTGGATGATTTGTATTCTTAATGTTTCACTTAACTACTCAGTGATTTTGAATTGTTAATAATAACATGTTGTTTCAAAATTGCGATTTTGTTTGAATGAATTCAAGCTTATATCGTGGGGATTTTGACCTTGGATTGTCAGCGGGAAGTTTGTAGTGTGTTTAATTTGTAGTGACAGTGACAATTACACTACTGTGTGATATTTAAAATAAACTTATCTAAAATGGAGTTAGCTAATTTTGTGCTTAAGAAATCTGTGAACTGTACAGATAGCTGCCTAACGGCATTGTTGAGGTAATTTTGCATTCTAGGTATATTACTACTGTTTTAATAGTAACAAGTGCGTTGGTGACACAGAGGTTAGGACGCTCGCCGACCATGCACATGGTCCCGGGTTCGATACCCGGCCGACGCACTCCTTTACCTCACTAAGCCAGAAATAATGCTGGTAAAGAGGAAAGGTTGGGTATGAGGCTAGCAACCCCATCCCGTAAAATAAACACTGTTGCAGAAACTTCAAGGCACTAGCTTGAAGCCCTATGTTCCACTGGGGAACATGAAGGAATATATATAAAAAAAATAATAGTAACAGATTTTATTGCTTATAACTGTCTTTTTGCTATTGTAAGGATATTTAAGGACTGTAAGTCACTGCAAGAAGTTTTGTCAGCTATAGAGAAGAACGTATCGATTGCTTCCTTGCGTTCAGATCAGAGTATTTCGGTTTTGGTTACCACCTTAAGGTTTATGGGACAGAATGGTTATT